TTTCGATCTAACAATGTTTGTTAGTTAGTTAGTTAGTTCTAGTCTTTTAGCTACAGTGAGATTTAATGTTGATTTCTTGTACAGGTCTTAGACAAATTTCCCCATTTATAAACCTAAATAAAATCGAATATCGTGGCAGGACAACGTAAATTGACTTATTTTGCGAATTCTTCCCAGCTGCTTACGACCTAAAACCATAGTATTAATCATTAAAAAAAGACCAGTGTAAAAAATGTGTATGGGAAACGTCTTGGATGAATTAAGCTAACATGTGGAGTTAGAGTAATCACAAGAGATAAAAAATATGAGAGTTAACACTGATCAAACGTTCTCATATTCATAAGTTAGATGTATGAATATACTTGAAGAGGATGGAAAAAATTTTTCTAAAATAGTATTAGAGAGGACGATCATTTGTATTAACCTCATGACACCCTACAGTTATGAACTCAAAATAATCTCTTTTTGTTTTACATCAGACAAAATATTAAAGTTGAATTAATCCGTGTTATGAATTGGAAATCGAAGTCTAAGGTGCACTATGTAATATTCGCTTAAAAACACTTTTCAAGTCAGCACTTATAGCAAACGGTCCTCGGTGTTGATTACTTCATGTGGTGTTCTCCAGGGTTGTCCGCTTTACACATTTCTATCCTTATTTATATATCTGACTTTGTCATATAAATGCTTTTAAAGATAGCGCTTTCATCGTTTGAATTTTCAGGAGTTTGATCTACCAGGAGATTCATTTGTTGACTTGGGAAACGCAGATAATGTAGCTGTGTTTGATGAAAAGGCTGATAAATTGCAGTCTTCTGACCACCTTAAGCAACGGTACAAGCACTTTTGGGATGCAATTCTCTCTTTCTACACCAGTTATTCCTGTTCTACTGTATTCGCTTGAAACACCCATTAAAAAAAGAAAATATCTGTAGATTACTAGTACTCGATCATCGGTGTCCTTGAAGGCTGACTCGTATGTTTCTTACCATCGAGTAAGCAATCCCTAGGTAAGGAATAGTGTAATAGTTAAGGATGGCTAATCGATTGATGAGGCAGTAAATCTTCATCAACTGTAGTATTTTAGACATGTGTTACCTATGCCGAATCACTACCTACCTCGATGGTCTATGTTGTCCGGTGTAGGAGTATGCGGAACAATGCTACGCTCAGCCAAACCAAAATATGGCATCAGTCTATGAAGTCATTGACTATTCGACTTAGCCATATTGATAGGTTCAGAATACCTGATTGGTGTTCGCATGATCATCATAATCGTTAGTTAGGGAGTTTGAAGGACATGGCTTGAAATTTTTTCGAATGGTGTAGGTGCATCCATTCTTTGTCTTCCCACAAATTCTGAGCTTCTGAATTTCTCATAACATTTTGCTTTCATTTCACTAATTTATATTTTCTTTCTAAATCGCATATTCGATGCGTAATTTTTTCTGTTACCACTTATTTTTATTTATTTATTTGAACACATAAATATTGGTACAAAGGGGCACTAAATACACATACACCACTGATACTGTTACTGTACTGAACAAGATCACAAGTGAGAACAATCGAATGTGTTCGAACACAAAATTACATAGCATCTTAGTGAAATCTGAGAACCATACACTAAATGCTTCATTTGCAAACTGTCAATCAATTTTCTCAAACTTGACTGTCCTTTCATCAAAATATCAATCAGTCGTCTCACACTGTATTGTTTTTTTGTTTCCACTCCAATCATTCTCTGTTCTCGTTCTTCGATCTTCTTAACTTTCTGCCTCCAGGCATTTCACTTTCGATTGATGATACACACTAATATTTGTGGACATCAGTAACACACACCGCATTACTATCTCTACCATTCTGAGATTTGGCCTGACAGTTTCATCTCTCTCTGGTGATGAGTTATTGGGTTTCCAGCTGATGCACATACATACTAAGCTGTACATTGCGACTGACTGAATAAAGCTCAAAAGACTGAGATATTGGCAATTGTAATTAAGGTTATGGGAAATCCTACATTTGTCACTGGTGACCGTGTTTTCATGTGATTACCGCGTAGACATTGTCCTTAGTTCGAGTTGCATTGCAAGTACTTTTGGACTGAATTCTAGTTATTATTCACTCCTATTCTATCTGCTCAAATTAAACGAAAAGAACTTTGAAGGAGAGATGAACCACATATTTCCTTTCATGATCTCTACGCTTTCACAAACTTCAGCTATTAAATGACGACCTAAAATTAACCACGGTTGCGTTTATCATGTATATTTTCCACTAAATCTCAAGTTTTTTGCCATTCCATACTTTTATTCTTCGTTTTCATTTACTCCGTTTGGACCATATTTCCAATGTTCTACTTTTCATCGCAGTTGATAATATGTATCAATCAGTCAGTCAGCTATAACGTAGGAACAGGCACGTATATGCATCTGTTCAAGTTCTCATACATGATTAGCACAACAAGATAAACACCGAATTCACAGAAGCAGTTACTTCAATAGTAGTAATATGCAAAAAAACAAGATTGCATATAAGGATATGATACAGTAAGAAAAAATTAGTTTGTAGACAGAAAGGTATAAAGTAATTTTAATCTCACGGTTTAAGGGAAGACAAAGAGTGTATATACCTACACCATTGTGATCGTTTCTGAGCCATGTCACCCAGAGTCTCTAACCATTGGTTACGATAGTCACACAGAACCCAACCAAGTAGTCTGATTCTACTAACGTGGCTCAGACTAGAAGTTAGTGACTTCAAGGACTGATGCAACGTTTTAGTTTGGAAACTCATAACTTTCTTCAAACTGCCTCCAACACTACTCAGCATTCCGCATCGTGGTAATCGGTGTTCAGGCATACGCCGCAACACGTGGCCCAACCATCTCAGTCGATAAAGATTTACAACCTGATCAACTGATTTACCATCATTCCCTAATACCCTGCGTCTAATCTTACTATTACTTACCCGGTGATCACAGCAGATGCGAACTATATTTCTAAGTCATCTGTAGTAAAATACTAGTAGCTTATGAGTACCTTCTACTCTTAATGGCCACGTTTCGCAGCCTTAAAGTAGAACAGAGCGAACTGATGTGCAGCATACTCGTCTCTTAATTGATAGACGGGTATCTCGCCTTCACCTTAGGTGATGTAAGTTAGCAGAAGCCAAACGAGCTTTCTGAGTCCGTACTGAAATTTCGTCATTTTTATTTTATTTTTATTTATTTTAACATAAAGATATTGGTACAAGAAGGCACCAAATACATATGCGCCACACAAATCTCATTTGATATGTGTGAGGGCTATGATACTGCCGGGTGCCCAAACCGAAGCAGGTGGTTTACTTAGGGGGCCACACCCCGAGCCTTCGGCCTGAAGATATGACCCATAAGGCAGTGGAGCGACGTCAGGGAATGCAATACCATGGTAGCTGGTGACTAACAATTGGTTCATACTCCATTTGTTCCCTCAGGATACTGGATCCAGCCCATATGCACCATTGTTTTTGGATCTGGTTAAAGCGCCGGATATTCGCTTTTCGTCCTCTCATTTTCGTAGACAACACACCCTCGACACGAGAAGGCAGTGAGTAGGACTTCCCTGGCAGAGGCTATATACGCGTGGCCATGTGAGAGCATTTCGAGAGAGAGAGAGAGTGGACTCTTCCCACTCTCGGCCGTACCAGGGCATTTTGGGGCACCAACCCATTAGGGCTGGTCAAACTTCCAAGATAAGTGAAGTTGTCAACGCGTTCGACTACTTCACTCCCTGCCTTTAGTTCAAGTGTTGACGCAGACCAGTCCTGAAGCAACAACTTTCATTTAGAGGTGGTGAAACACATCCCAAACATCCTGAAATTGTTGCTCAATGTTACCACAAGAGACTGCATTTTATCAGCGTCTTCACCAAACAGGACCATATCATCTACGTATCCTAAGTCGGTAAGTGGACCTCCTGGTAAGAGATCAATTCCTGAAAATTCTGTCGATGAGAGCGTTATTTCCCTCAGTAGCTCTATGATGAAATTGACCGAAAAATGGCGATAGTGGACAGCCTTGACGGACACCACTTGAGGTTGTAAAATCAGATGACAGTTCTCCATAAGCTCTGACTAGACTAGCAGTGTTCAAGTGACTAGCCTTCACAAGGTTTATGTAGTTCTAGGCCATACCTTTAAATGACACACTGCTACAGAACCTCTTGATCTACATAGTCAAATGCTTCTGTTAAGTGAAGAAAGACCATCATTGTCGGACATCGATAAGCATATCTGTGTTCTTAGATCTGACGAATGGTGAATTTGTGGTCGATGCAGCCACGACCGGGTCTAAAGCCAGCCTAATTTTTTCGCATTTGCAGTTCACGTGTTTTTGTTAGACGTCCAATAATTACTGAAGCGATTATTTTAGACTTTATATTGGTCAAACTATTCCCTCTATGGTCGTCAAATAATGATTTTGATCCTTTCTTATGTATTGGGACAATCTGCGATTGAGGTCAGTCAGATGAGATTACGTCAAGTTCCCAGATTTTAGCTGAAGAATTGGGTCAACGTAATCGCCGAAACCGAACCACCATATTTAAAGACCTCTGGAGCCAATCCATCAGGACCAGCTATTCTTCTTTATTTCAGTTTAGCTATGACTTTTTGAAGTTCAATTGGAGTCGGTGGGCGTTGATAATATGTATATTTCTATTTCCGCGTATTTGAGGTGTGTCAAATTGAGCCATAACTCATCCATATCAGATTATACGTTGATTATAATATTTAACCGTTTTAGGCTTTCAGATATGACCGTACTTTTGCAGAGTCGACTTTTGGCGTCTAGTTCTTCTGTTTGATAAACCGTTTCTTAATGGTAACTTATATGAAAATAGAAATTCAACCCAGTTTATCTCATGAATTTATCAATACACAACTAACCATTTAATATTTGACTTTGCTTACCTTAATTCTTAATTTTATTTGATTCGAATATTTTTTTTTGTTTTCAGAACTTCCGATGCAGCCGATGATATTATGAAATCTGATAAACTTGACCCTATGAATCATCCTCATATTATTGACGAATTAGCCGAATGGTCCATAAATTTGGATTCCAAGCTGTCAGCAGACAATAGTTATTCTGTTGCCGTAGATTTGTTACGTTGCCGAAATATTTCATTATCAAGTGTACATCCTTCCTCACTCAATCTGTCTTCGGATGACAAGTTACCGGCTAATAAAGAGTCAGATCCATCCTCACTTTCCAAGATAAATTACCTTTTGTATAACACCTGGAGAAAATTGTCGGAAGTATTGACTTCTTGGTTTCCACCTTCCCAAGTTTTAGTCACTTACGCTCATTTACGCGAAAATAATTGCCCTTGGCAATTAGGTTATCTTTCATCTGAGTCCGTTCAAGGTCAGGCTTTGTGTCTTGTAGCCACTCATTGGCTAGAGTTAATGGAATTGCCAAATAGACTTCAAAGTTCTAATTCTTCGTCATTAAACGATTTGAAAGAATCAAATGATATCACCCCATTGGAACTTATTCAATCACCTACCATAAGCTTTACATATGTTGAGTCAGATGTCAATCAGATTGCTACAAATCATTCTACCAGGATAACAAGAAAGTGGTATCTAAGTTACGTGGATCCATGTCCACAGTGGCGCATAGTTACTTTTTTATCGTATAAACCCAGTGAAACATTTGAGCACGATTTATCAAGCAATGGCTCAAATTCAGCTTTGGATAATTTGTATTATATAACCGCTATAGGTTATAGTAATGGTTCCATTGATATAATTGACCTATCAATTGATGAAAGTGAGAGGCCTAACATAGATCAAAATATTCGACGTAGTCGGATTTTTATTCCATCTCCTTTTACACAGTCAGTCGATTCGCTTGGTTGCAAGAAACCACTCTTTCCCATTGTTTCATTGTCTTTCATTGATATATCTCATCTTTTAGTGGGTCATTTCAGAGGTCATGTAGATTTGTGGCATTTAGATTGGAAAGCGAAGAGTTTCCCAGCTCGTATGATGATGAGAATTTATTCTATCAATGCTTACAAAGCTTCTAAACCACCTCCTTTATTATCAGCTGTATATGACTCATCGTCAAGTTTACTTGTTTTATCTAGTTTACCCAACGTCAATGTATCTGTGTCCAAATCAATGCATAGAAAACTTGGATTAACATGTTATTATGTGTCCAAAAAGGCACCTTATTTAATTCCAGCCTCTTCTAGTTCAACATCTGATGTAAAACCTGGTGGATTAATGAGTTTATATAATACATGGAAAGACACATCAGTTCATTTACTATGCAACCTATTTCGTCGTAACAGTTACCTGACTAGCGATAATTCAGATGCAATCACTTCTATGACTTTAGCAAATTTCAATACTACTTCACTTCCAATTTTTTCATCTTCAAATATATCCAATCAATTGTTACTTGGTAGCCTTCATTCATCAGGTTCATATTCTGTATGGTTGATTCCATCTTTTGAATTACTTTTTTTAATTGCTAATCCTCAGAATAGCCCTAATCTTTCATTATCATCAATAGACCAAACTTCTAATATATATAGTAAACCATTTCGTATAACTTGGTGGAGTAGACCATTAGAATCCAATGAATTATTTCATCAAACTATTCAATTATGTATTCTTTATGAAAATGGTTCCATTGATTTATTAGATATTAATAAATATGGTACAAATTTTCATTCTAAATTAACAAAACAATTTAATCATTTAAAATTATCACCATTTTCTATATTTGCTATACATTCTATTGTTCAATCTAATCTACATTATTGTTTATCTGAAATTGTTCTATTATCATCTTATTTAAAAGAAGATTCTCAATTGAAAGTTACCAGTATACAGAATTCATTGAATACAAACATCTTTCATTATTCTATACGATGTATACGATTAAAATCTACAACATATCATGAATTATTTCATTATTATATACGTCTTGGTAAATATCATAAAGCTTTAACATTGAATCAATTGAATAAACAAAATCCTAATCCTAATTATAAAATTGTCTATAAACAAATATGGATGAAATTAAGTAATGAATTTTGGAAAATAAAAAATTTTCAACAATTTCTTCATAATACATTAGATCCAATTCAAACTATATATCCTTTATGGATTATAAAACAATGTTTACATTATTTACCAAATTATTCTATCCCATTAGAATTACAATCGAATGTATTATTTTCAACAATTCAATATATTTTAAATTATGGTTTAAATATATTAATAAATAATAAATATTTATTTGATAATGATCAAGATCATCATAAGGATCATTGGTATTCAATAATTTATGATCGTTTTAATATTTATATTGATCATATAAATTGTATCCAAATGATTTTACAAAATGAATTAAAATATCATCAATCATTGAATCAATTTATTGATTTACATCTTATTCATAATGATACTAATCAACCATGTATTAAAACTATATTAAAATTAATTCATGATTTACGTATTTATTCATTATTAGATATTACATTAAATTATGCTTATTATCAACAATTTATTGCATTAAATACAATCATTAATTATTTTCCTAAATCAATTGGTTTATATCGATTATTGATTGGATCTAGTTTATCAGAGACAATTAATCCAACAATATATTTTCATAAAATATTTTATTTACAATCTAATTTACAAATCAATCAATCCAAATCAATAATTCATAATCATGATTATCATGATAATCAAATTATAAAAAGTATTCAGTGTCATTTTTCAATTTCATTAAATCTTAATGCAGAACTATTAAATAATCCATTAAAATTTGTTAAAATTTTCTCTTCTTGGTTAATTGAACGATCAATACAAATTGATACACGTTCTGGTTTAACTAATTATGCATTAAATTTAATCTCTATGGGTATATCTAGTTGTGAAGAAATTTTAAAAGGATATCATATTGATAATGAAGTAGAAATATGTTTAAAATCATTAAGAAAAGTTCATCGAGATTTTATTGAATTATCACAAGTAAGTAATAACATTATTATTTCTTTTATTTACTTTATTATAATCATCATAAACTCTGTTATTGATGTGGTGGAGAAGATTTGTAGCTCAGTTGAATGATTTTGATAGAGTTTTGTTCTCTCAGCTCATGTTCTCACTGATACTTGTAGCTCTAGTGGGGAACTATGACCAGTATGTGTGTGTGTGTCTGTGTGTGGCATTTAAAGATGGTTGCACAGTATGGCGAATCGATTCGAGTTAAATAAATAAATCTTTAGATGTAGACTTAATGATCTAAAGATTAAATGCTCTTCATGAGACCAAAAGTTGTCGTGGGAATCGTTTACACACATTGGTAAAGAGTTTCATGCTAGAACAAAATAATCTGTTCAGTGTTTCTGGTTCTAAAGGTTGTTTAATAAAATCTGCTCATGATATATACACTATGCATTATAATTTTTAACTCACATATTCTGTTTGACTTGAAGACTAGATTTTCCAGCTTATTCTAACGATATGCATCATAAATCTGATTGAATTGGTTACCGGAAAATTCACTTAACAATAGTAACACCACTTTCACTTGTATGCAAAATCTGAAAAAAATTGACATTTCCTTGCTGTCTTTGTGTTTTATTATGGGAAATATTAGTCATCCTGTTGTTATACTCTGCTTTACAAATATTCATAAAGTTATTTGGTTCTATGCTTCATTAAAAATGAATACAGTGGTCTTGAGTGCTGTTAGAGGTATGAGGGCGGTTATCACTTACCACTTGCCTACACCTTGGAAGGGTTCTGTCGGAGTTACCTGAAAAGGAAATTGGATTAGAGGTGGTCTTAGTGACCTGAGAGCGTGACCACAGTGCCCAAGGGATAGTTGCTTGAGGTCGGTCACACACGACCTTTTTATGAGTAATTTTTGTGTTAGCTCCGTACTTTGTGAGACCTTACCGCCGAAGACGGATATCCGTAGGATAAGGAGAGGTGTGCATTTTTAGGATCGACCTTTTCTAACCCCACCCCTCCTTGTGGGAAGGCAGCATCGCTGTCATGCTGGTTGTCTGAAGGAAACACTTTACTACTGTCACACCTCTGTACAGTGAGCAGTACGACTTCGCCTTCGGACCTTGTATTTGTTGCTTTTAGACTTACCGCTCTTCAACCGACCTGTCTGGCATGGTAGGACCTTGAAGAACGGTTGTTCCAACCAGTATAACTCAGTTGCTTCATCACGATAGGCAAGCGCGACCACCACGTCAAGGTAGCAAAACGGTGGTGGTGACACGGCTCAGAATCGATCACAATAGTGTCGGTGTATACACTCTCTGTCTTCCTTCAAACTAAGAGATTAAAATCAATTCATATCTTTCTTTCTACGAACTAATTCTTTCTTCCTGTACTATCTCCTTATATGCAATCTTTCTTCTATATATTACCATCACTGCATTAACTACTTCTATGAATCCGGTGTTAATCTTATTGTGCTGATGCGGTATGGCAACTTGGACCTATGCATATATGTGCCTGGTCCTACGTTGCAGCTGACTGACTGACTCATTAAAAATCAATTTTCATTGAAGAAACAAGTTGTTGGAGAGTTGTTCATTGATATCATTGCTGTATTAATGTATTACGACTGTCTAGAGATACCTATAAAATCAGATTGAAAACCAGAGTATTATTATAATAACTGACCAATTTGTGAACATATTTCATCGTAACACTATAAATTAATCTTATCCCTAATAAGGTAAGAACATCATCTAGTATTAATTAGAGTTTGTCGTTTGTTTGTGACATGATTTGTATAAAACTAACAGTAGTATAACTTTCAAAATGAGAAGGAAAATGAAATTTTGCTTTTATTCGTTAGGCATATCAATAGTCTATGATAAAAAACAAAATCTAAAACAACATATACAAGTGAACAATATTGTTTTCGATTAGATCCTCATCTGGCTTTACTCTAATATATAGTAATGTATTTATTTAAACCAATCAAGGTAGTTTATGAGTCAATAATAACAATGAAAAAAGGCCCCCAAATGCCCTGGTACGGCCAAGAGTGGGAAGAGTCCGCTCTCCCTCTCTAAATGCTCTCACATCGCCACGCGTATATAGCCTCTGCCAGGGAAGTCCTACTCATTGCCTTCTCGTGTCGGGGGTGTTGTTTACGAAATTGAGAGGACAAAAAGCGATTGTCTGGCGCCTTAACCGGATCCCAGACCAATGGTGCACATGGGCTGGCTCCAGTATCCTGAGGGAACAAATGTCGTATGAACCAATCGTTGGTCACCGGCTACCATGGGACTGCATCTCCTTACGATGCTCCACTGCCTTGTGCATCAGACCTTTAGGTCAAAGGCTCGGGGTGTGGCCCCCTAAGAAAACCAGCTGCTTCGGTTTGGACACCCGTTCAGTATCACAGCCCTCACACAAATTAAATGAGATTTGTGTGTCGCATATGTATTTGGTTCCTCCTTGTTACAATATCTATGTGTTAAAATAAATAAATATGAAAAAGATTAAATAAATAAACATAATAAGTGAAAAGTACAAGTTCATAGTATGATGACAGATGTACTAGTTTTGATAAGAATAATAAAGGCTTAAATCAATGTTACATAATTGGGAATAGGTCAATGATTAGGAAAATATAGACACTGAAATAACATTCATAGAAAGATTATCAGACTACGTAATAAGTTGTGTTCAGATAATTGGACCGTGAAGTGTATATTTCAGGAAAGAAAAGGGTGAGAGGGTCTAAACAAAAATAAACGAACAAAGTGTATGTAAATTACTGATAATAAATCATTTATTAAGGCCAAGGGAGAGATAAGGGTGTTACAAATTTCTTATAAACACAAAGACTTGGATTGTTGGCTCGATTTTCTGTAGTTTCTGCTATATGTAAGAGACCAGATCGAACACCATAAGTAAAACTAGTAACTATACGATAAATAACTTTAAATGACTTGTTTCTATTTACTACATGACCGCTATCGATCAAGTGTGATAGAGCCGAACTGCATATTGTCTTAACATAACCTTTTCTCTAACCACGAAGGGAGGTGTTCACTAATTCTTTAGTACAAAACAAAATCAAATACTCCTATTTTACGTGAAATGATATTAAAATTCTTGTTACCAAACTTTTGAAAATCTGGTATCCAGGGTGAAAGTTACTCTTTTATGATTGTAAATTTAGTCTGTTCATCGTTATCTCTAATGATAAATTTTATTTTATTTTTTCTTTAAAATTTAGATTATCTACAATAAAAATATATCTCCAACTACAATACTACAAATCCCTAATGATTTTACAACTTTAATACCTCAAAAACGTAATAATAATAATAATAATAATAATAATAATAATAATAATAATAATAATGGCTGTACAAACGAATGTATCAGAGCATTTCAATTGAAAATGAAAGATTTCCAACATTTCGATTCTAAATTCGTTTTAACTCTTCTACTTCGAATTAGTTTAAATCTTATCAATTCAGATGGTCTACATAATACATCATCATCATCTTCATCATCATCATTAGCATCATCATCTGTTACTTCAGATAAACTAGTCTCATTTGTTCTTTATCAGTTATTACCACATTTAGCTGAGAAATGCTCTCCATCTGATTATCAAGAATTGATTAATCATTGTCTTTTGTATGCAGCAAATTACACAGGTTTAACTGGTCATGTCAAACTTTTGGAGTCAGTTAAATTGGGATCTTTCACTGATTTTATTGATTATTTGTCAATAAATCTAACTGATGAAGTCGTTTTGAATAATAATTCTCATGTTAATGATTATCTAAATATTTTAAACCGTAAGTGTATTTTATATACTATATAAGTGTATGGTACCTTACGTAATACGAGAAATTTGAGTTCTGCATTTTGTTATAAAAGTTATATCCTGATATCTATGGCAAATGATGCGATAGGTCAATCAAAAGTTGCCGACTGAGAAGGTGACGTCGTACTAATCGAACATCTGTTAACACGTGCATATGATTAGCTAAGGATTATATATATAAATCAGTGCTTATGTATGTGAATCGGTTTGGCTGAAATTACTACCTTCCTTACTCTTTGTGTTCTTGCTCAGTAGCTAGTTAAGGGCTTGTCCTTGGGAAGTTTGTACATCAGTATCAATATTGGGCAGCGCGCCTAATAACAATAAACGGTTTATATACGCTCTTCTCATTTAAAAATCAGCTTGCGTATTATAGGCTTCTTAATAATAATAGTGGTGCGGATGCACTTCTTATCTTCCTTCAAAAGTATTTAGCTCCAATATTATTTCATGCTTTCCACTCCTTTAATTCATTCTGTTTTTGAACCATATTCTCAAATACCGTGGCTTGTTTGAAGGATAGTTCGCTGTTTGTCTGAAAATGCTTACTTGCGATCGAGTATGTATAGCTTTTGTCAGAGAAATTCTCTTTACTACCTTTACACAGAATATGAGCTTTTATGAAAATGAAAAAAAAAACGGAAAACAAAAGTTCCCTGTTTTAATCCGGATACTAAACCGATGATGTACATAGGTTCCAGAATCTTAAGGGAATAATTGGCGTATATACCCGTTTTGTTTGCTATGTAGTGTAGAATCGCATATCCTAACGTCGATTTTACAATTGATTGGACACTGAACAAGGATCAATGTCATATATATCAAGTTCTTAGTGCTAATCGAATTTTATTGATCAAGTTACAGTGAAACCACTAGTTCAAATGACTCAACATGACATCCATTATACTGAGATGTAAGGTGGTGCTCCCAAATGCCCTGGTATGGCCGAGAGTGGGGAGAATCCGCTCTCCCTCTCGAAATGCTCTCACATCGCCACGCGTATATAGCCTCTAGCAGGGAAGTCCTACTCACTGCTTTCTCGTGTCGGGGGTGTTGTTTACGAAATTGAGAGGACAAAAAGCGATTGTCTGGCGCTTTAACCGGATCCCAAACCAATGGTGCACATGAGCTGGCTCCAGTATCCTGAAGGAACAAATGTCGTATGAACCAATCGTTGGTCACCGGCTACCATGGGACTGCATCTCCTTACGACGCTCCACTGCATTGTGCATCAGACCTTTAGGTCAAAGGCTCGGGGTGTGGCCCCCTAAGAAAACCACCTGTTTCGGTTCGGGCACCCGAGCAGTATCACAGCCCTCACACAAATTAAATGAGATTTGTGTGTCGCATATGTATTTGGTTCCTCCTTATTACAATATCTATGTGTTAAAATAAATAAATAATAAAGATGTAAGGTGATGGTCTTCTTAAGATTACAGGTATACCTTGCTGACGCATGTCAAATAGCACAAAATCTAGGTTTAGGGTTTTCTATTTTATGGCAGTGAAACATTGCTAGTAAGAGTAGAGGATATTCGTAGGTTACTAGTATTTGACCATGGGTGTCTTTGAAACATTGCTCGTATATCGTGGGACCACCTAGTAAGTGGTCCTGTTGTTAGGAGACGGGTACTAGGTAAGGATGGCAAATCAATTGATGAAGTAGTGAAACTTACTGAGTTGAGATGGCTGGGACATGTGTTGCGCATGCCCGACCACCGACTGCTCCGACGTGCGATGTTTTGTGGTGTAGGAATAGGTTGGAAGAAATCTAGGGGCGGCCAGACCAAAACATGGCACAAATCCATGAAGTCACTGACAAGTGGACTAAACCATGTTGGTAGGTGTAGACTACTAGGTTGGGGTCCACGAGACGATAGCAACCGATGGTTAGAAATCTTGGATGACATGGCTCAAAATCGTTTGCGATGGCGCAGATGCATCCACACTTTGTGTGCTCTCAAATTCTAATCTGAATTCTCCTTAAATAACATCATCAAACCCTAGTGTTCCCTATCACTACCTCTACCACTAAGGGATTTGAATCGATAACTGAATCTCTGTGCTAATGTGGTAGGTATGGCAACTCGAACTGATGTACGTACGTACGAAGTCCCACGGTTTTACTGACTGACTGACCTTCAATCAGCATCTTATATATATATCTTTCATTTCATATTGTCCTTTTTAACTGTATATAATGTAAAATAGTATATTTCCATCAAAATACATGTTTTTATTTTTTTGAATTACATTTTAGCATATCAATTATTGAATGGATTAGTTTATGTGTTAAAACAATATAAACTAGATTATAAATTTGATCAATTTATCAATAATCAATCAATGAATTCATTATCAATTTATTTAAATAATGCTTATCAATTAATTCAATTAATGTTTATTTATTGTCAAAATAATAAATTGATTATTTTACAATTTACAAATGAAATTAATTATAAAAAATTATTAGATAATATTCAATTGATTCATCAATTTATTATAGGTTTTATTGATTTTCAATCATTAATAAAATCGATTGAAAAAGATATTAGTTTATCAATTCAATTACCTTTACATTCTATTGAATCATTTTATCAATGTAGTCAAAATCCAAAATATTTTTGTTATTTATTAAATAATTGGATACAAATATTCAGTCGATTAGCTATGGCATATGAATATGAAGATAATATGTTGGATGAATTCATTCATGAGAATAATAATAATAATAATAATAATAATAATAATAATAATAAATGTATACAACGATCACGGATTTCTGAATCAACTATAAAAAAACTCAAGTAATCAGTGAATAATTATAATTATTATTACTATTTCAATAGTTGAGATCATGAGTCAGTTGAAGCTAGACCACCATGAAAAACCTGGAAGGCCGTTACGTCGTATTGTTAGACTCCTAAGCAGTGCGCATCTACAATCCTGCTCGTGGAATTTGAACCCAAGACCTACTGGTCTCGCGAGTGAGCGCTTAACCATTAGACCACTGAACTGACCTGCATCCAACAGTATTAATGTCTAACTTCAACTAATCCACGAAATTGAGTGACACATTCACCATTGTCATCAATGAGTTACTATCTCACAACTGACCTGGTTGAACTCCACAGGTCACTGCTTCTCACTGGAACTTCAGGATCTACCTCTTGAAGTCAGTCAGTAGTGAGAATATGTTCATTAGTATCAGAAGGGGTTCTGTGGAGATTGTAGTAATTTCAATAGTTTAGATCATGAGTCAATAATTATTGTTTTTTTTTTTTCTTCATATTTCACCATTTTTTTGACCAATTCACATGAATGCTTAACATAATATAGAATGCTAAAAATAATAATTAACATTTGCTAACAATGATGTAATCTTATTGGAAGATTTTAATGACTGAAGTGGCTAAGAGATTCGTTAAGTATACCCCTATCTCGACATGAAATAGTAGTTGATATGTGGAAAGCTAGGGATAATATTTATTGGAAATTAATCAAGAACATCAACTGTAATAGTGAACTTTTTTATTTATTTATTTATTATTATTATTATAAGCTTTATTCAACATTATATTTGTGGTACACTATTGAATTCTCAGCATAAAGTATTTCAACAAGTTTCCTTTTCTTAGATCTTGATCGATCCTGACGATAAATATTGAGTGATGGCCAGTTAGATGTTAGGAGTTCGATAATCGACATCTGAATAATGTTCATTCGTTTCAATGCATATTGCAAGCCACCATGATGTTGCTGGTTGTACCTTTTTGTAATCCGTACAGCGAAAGGTTGTAAACTTTTCGTAAACGCGCCTGAATAGGTTGTGAGTTCAATAGACATAATAGTGTGTCAAAACAAACAAGAAAACAGATAACTTGACGAAATATCTAGATGGGAGGAACAGGTAGCCCAGATATTCAAGCAGGCCGCCGTCAATTCATATTCGATATGAAATCTTTATCTTTCCATAAAAGCAAATGTAGTTTGTATAGGTGTTAGTCCATATTTTACAATATTCCTTAAAACTATTTGTAAATATTTTGATGGTAGAATGAGAAGTAGATTTAAAACAAAATGTAATATATTATACCTCAATTACTAAGTCGCAACCTAAGACCTGGTATGTATGTGAATCAATTGAAGTCCCCGTATCTCATTATCACAGAGAGATGAAACTGTCAGGCTATATCCTAGAGTAGTAAAGGTAGTAACAATAACAGTGATAACAGAAAAAAATTACGCTTCGAATATGTGATTTCGAAAGAAAATTTAAATTAGTAAAATGAAAACAAAAGGTTATGAGAAATTCAGAAGCTCAGAATTTGTGAAAAAATAAAGGATGGATGCAGCTACATCATTCCAGACGATCTTGAACCATATCATCCAAAGTCTCTAACTAATGATTATGATAATCATGCAAACACCAACCAGGTAGTCTTCACCTATCAACATGGCTAAGTCGAATAGTCAATGACTTCATGGACTGATACTATATTTCGATTAGCAATTCTTAACTAGTACAATATTCCTTAATTAAAGATTGCTTACTCGATGGTCAGAAATATACGAGTCTGTCTTCAAGGACACCGACGATCGAATACTAATAATCTACAGATATTTTCTCTTTTTTTAGTGGGTATGTTTTATGCGAATAATGTAGAACAGAGATAACTGATGCCCTGGTACGGCCGAGAGTGGGGAGAGTTCGCTCTCCCTCTCGAAATGCTCTCACATGGCCACGCGTATATAGTCTCTAGCAGGGAAGTCCTATTCACTACATTCTCGTATCACAGGTGTTGTTTACGAAAATGAGAGGACGAAAAGCGAATATCCGGCGCTATAACCGGATCCCGAACCAATGGTGCACATGGGCTGGCTCCAGTATCCTGAAGGAACAAATGTCGTATGAACCAATCGTTGGTCACCGGCTACCATGGGACTGCATCTCCTTACGATGCTCCACTGCCTTGTGGGTCAGACCTTTAGGTCGAAGGCTCGGGGTGTGGCCCCCTAAGAAAACCACCTGTTTCGGTTTGGGCACCCGGTCAGTATCACAGCCCTCACACAAATTAAATGAGATTTGTGTGGCGCATATGTATTTGGTGCCTCCTTGTACGAATATGTATGTGTTAAAATAAATAAATTGGTTGACAGATGAATATCTTGATTACACCACAAATGATTCAGGTTTGCAAAATCCATGTGATCCTTCTGAACTTGTGTCATGGTTTTGTCAGGCTCTGAAACATGAGAACTGCTAAGACTGTTTAGATAAGTGAAGCAATTAATGAGTTCAACTACTTCACACTCTTTCATTACTTCAAGTGCTGACGCAAGCCAACCCCGAAATAACATTTTACATTTAAAGGAAGAGAAATGTTTTATTATAAAACTCTTTAGAATCATTCACTGTCAATTAATCAATAATAGTTCAAATGCAACCATTTCATGATGAATATCATTTAGAAATCAATTTAATTATATTGAAATATTGAACGAAATCTGTTTCTATATTTTTAGTGATATTTTTTGTCAATTCTACAAAATTCTATCAAAAGCATTTCATCATTGTCCATGTGAATTATGGTTAGAAATTGGTTTACAATATACATTATTTGCTTCAGGTAATGAATATTTTCTTGAATTATCAAAGAATTTCTGTTTAACTTTCAATGAATCACGTATAAATTTGCAAAAAACTATTAAATTATCTGAAAATTCATTAAATACATGGAGAATATGTTTATTAAATGCTATTCGTACTTATATCAATACATCTGTACCAATAAGATCCGATTTAGAAATGATATTTACGGATTCTCAAACATCATCATTATCATCATCATCATCATCATCATCAAATGTCAACTCTAATCAAATTATAGATCCTAATGAACGTTTAGCACGTTATTGTCTATCTATTGTGGATTCATTACATCATCAAATGAATTGGAATCAATCATTTTTATTAGAATTTCATCAAGAAAAATGTTTATTAGATGCATCAACATTTCTTGGTACAATTCAAAAATTATTATCACCATCAATGATATCATCATCTTATTTACCATATAAATTAAGATATTTATGGTGTACTACCACTACTACTACTACTACTACTACTACTAATACTACTAATGACCGTAATAATAATACTGATCAATCCAATGAATTTTATAATCAACGTATTGATTTATTAATTAATGCATTCAATCAATTAATTAAATTAGTTACCATAGATACTAAAATGAATAATAATAATAATAATAATCATTATTTAAAAAATTTATTTAATTCCATATTCTTACATCATATAGCGAATAGTTTTTTAATGAACATTGAACAAGTGAAATTATGTTTTATTCATTCTATGTATAATTATATAAAATTATATAAAAATAATGATTATTATTATCCTAATGGATATTTATTAAAATTAACTTATAATTATATAAATGATTTAATTGAATTACATTATGAATTCTGTTGGTTAGAATGTGCTCATTGGGCTGGTTATCAATCAGAATTATATGATCCTACTGATATTTTTAATCATTATCATTATACTACTCATATTAGTAATAGTAGTAGTAATAATAATAATACTAAATTATATTCATGGACATATTTACATGCATTATATCATATTGAATATTCAAAATATAATATATCTAATGTAAATATAGATCTAATAGAATTATGGAATATTGAATGTTATCGTTTACATTTAGCTAGATATGCATTAGCCTATTGTAAATCTATAGAATATTTATATGATTTATGTAATTTTATTGGATTATGTACATTACGTGTTGAATGGATTACATTATCGATTATTATGTTAAATAATAAAAAAGAAAAATGTAATAATATAAAAAAATTATCTTTTAATATGTATCAACAATTGATTAAATTATTATCATCATCATCATCATTAAATCCTCATTCATTAGTTACTGAGAATAATCATAATAATAATAATAATAATAATAATAATAATAATAATAATAATAATAATAAAAGTATTACATTATATTTACCACCATATTATACAGAATTAACAAATGATCTATTCTCTGAATTAAGATCAAATATATTAGATCAATTTGAATCCATTAATTATCCTAATTATGGTTTAAATGAACAACGTTTATGGTTTGCTTTTTTAATTGATTGGGCTAAATTGAATCAAATCAATATATTTGAGGATGAAGATGAGGATGATTATAATCCTAATGTTATTTGGTGTAATACATTTTTAGAAGTTATTCATCGTGATACACGTTTAGCATTGAGTTATTCAGTGATTGGTTCAAAATTTTGTCGATTTTATTCATTATATTATTTAAATTATATTCATCAAATTAATTCTATTCTATTACCCTATTTAGAATTATGTAATATATCGGAGAATTTCAATAGTACATATTGTATTGTATTAGTTTTATTATGTTATATATTCATATCAATATATGAATATAAAACTATTGATTATTGTCTTCCATGTGGATGTTTTCCATCAGGGAAATATTTATGTATAAAATATTTTAATTTTATTAAATCTAAAGAATTTCGTCAAGAATTTCATCAACTTTATCAACCAATTATTAATACATTATTGATTATTTTAAAAGAAACTCTTATTGATCATCTTGTTAATAGATTTCCAACTATTGATATAATACGTTTTCATAATGATTTACAATATCAAGAAGATACTATATATGGTTTATGTTCAATAGATTTTAAATTTGGTTTACAACTTTGTACATATTATCATTTATCACAAATAGAAGGTGTATTTTGTTATCTTGAATATTTATTTCGTAATGAAAATGATCAAAATGATAAAATTAAAAAACAAATAAATTCTATGATAAAATGGATTCAATTACAATCGAATGGAATGGAAATTTTAATCAATCGTATACATTCTACTATCTATCCATTTTTAACAGAACTTTTACAAATCAAGTTATTATTTGATGTATTACCTAATGAATATGATACACAAGTATTAGATGGTATTCCAATACAATTACATCGAAAGATATTAGATATTTTATTACAATTAAAAGTGAATGAAACTTTTTTCAATGATTTAAATTATTCTAAATTTATTAATGATTTACATGATTCATCTAAATTACATAATCATCCATTTTTTCACTTGATCAAAACTAAATCTGATGCAGATAGTCTAGTAAAAGTGATTGAACATATCCAAATGATTAATAATAATAATAATAATAATAATAATAATAATAATGCGATTACATCATTACAAATGGGTGATATTTATGCAATATTTGGTTTAAAAGTATTTTATGATTTAACATTATTTCAATCTTTTAAAAATAAATCTAATTTATTAAAATTATTTAAATGGATTAGTCCTAGTAACACAATAAATGATATGACACGTTTTTTAAATTGGTTAGATGAATTATTATATGATAGTACATTTTCAGAAAATTTATCTATTAGTCAACGTTGTTTAGTTTTGAAATCGGCACAATCATTTGTTTCAAGGTTAGTATTATTTAAATATAATTTTATTATCAAAAGGGATTTTATGGAGATTGTAGTAATTTCAATAATTAAGATCATAAGTCAATTGAAGATAGAGCACTATGGAAAATCTGGAAGCACTGGATGGCCGTTTTGTCCTATTATGGGACTCTTTAGTGGCAGTGCGCATTCACGACCTCATTGCCTGCGAGATTCGAATCTCACTGAAGATAATGGTGGATGTGTCGCTCAATTTCGTGGATTAGTTGAAGTTAGACATTAACACCGTTAGATGACGGCTCAGTGGTCTAGTGGTTAAGTGCTTGCGCGCAAAGCCAGTAGGTCCTGGGTTCGAATCTCGCAGGGGGCGAGATCGTGGATGCGCACTGCTGAGGAGTCCCGTAGTAGGACGAAACGGCCGTCCAGTGCTTCCAGGTTTTCCATGGTGGTCTAGCTAAAACTGACTCATGATCTTAATCATTGAAATTACAATTTTATTTATCTTTTATTATAGGGTTTTTGGTTAAGATTGTTTAATGTGATCAAGATTACGAATTAAACTAAGTTAGATAACCATTAGAAACCAATATTCTCTCGGTAGTTGTTCTGTCTTCTTTGTATAGAATCATTGGGTGACCAATGTCACGCGTGTCTAGTCCTTATTATTAGTGCAGATCGAATGCTATAGATTATGTTGCAATGTGGCCACCAGTCAATTGTGATTACATCTCAGTCCTACAGGAGATCGGTCGCGGCCCGGATAGCGCAGTGATAACGTCTCTGACTGTGAAGCTGAGTGACACGGGATCGAATCCGTCAGGGAGCACCAGTTCCCTCAAAGATTACAGGTACACCTTGCTCACGAGTGCCAAGTAGCACGAAATCCGGGTGAAGGGTTTCCTGTCGACTACCTCCAACCACCATCTTATTCATCAATTGTGTTTATCTACGATTCCACTATGGAATAAACCTAGGATCTCTGGGTCTTGCAGCGACCGCTTGACCTCTAGACCACTGGGTTGGTATCAAATAGTATATGTGTTTACCATTAGTCAATTTTTCATATTGTAGAACCATTTTCTATTATCTTTGGTTGGTAATCGCTTAACACGATTGGACTCCACTAGTTACGCCCTCTCGCTAGACCTCTGGGAATTACCTTTCGTAATTAGTCACTAGTGTCTACATGATAAAGGGAGTTTTGGAGACTGTTAAATATTATTGAGATCAAAGCCCCCAAATGCCCTGATACGGCCGAGAGTGGGGAGAGTCCGCTCTCCCTTGAAATCCTCTCACAGGGTCACGCGTGCATAGCCTCTGCCAGGGAACTCCTACTCACTACCTTCTCGTATCACAAGTGTTGTTTACGAAAATGAGAGGACGAAAAGCGAATGTCCGGCGCTCTAACCGGATCTCAAACCAATGGTTCACATGGGCTCCAGTATCCTGAAGGAACAAATGTCGTATGAACCAATCGTTGGTCACCGACTACCATGTGGCTGCATCTTCTCACGTTGTTCTACTGCCTTGTGGATCAGATCTCCAGGTCGAAGGCTCGGGGTGTGGCCCCCTAAGAAAATGAGCTGCTTCGGTTTGGGCAGCCGGGGAGTATCCTAGCCCTCACACATATCAAATGAGATTTGTGTGGCGCATATGTATTTGGTGCCTCCTTGTACCAATGTTTATGTGTTAAAATAAATGAATAAATGTCGTTCATAGTATCCAGTCAACAGATATTGAGTATCTTGTGTAGATAGCTATTTATAAATATTTATTACTTTTTTAATAATAATTTTAGTAGTTCTTCAAGTTTCAGATGTGATACAATGAAATTATTTTGATATTTATATTGAAAATTTCTAATTGTTGATGTTGCCTAACAAATAGTTATTTTGAATTCTATATGTTTTTTTTCAACTGTAGAAACTCTACTCTTGTTTTGTCACCATATATATATCTATGGGGAAAGTGATACTTGTTAATGGTGAATATTGTTATGATTTATTGTCCGGCTTTCGATCAGGTGACTTATCCACCGATCAGAATACGACTTATACAAAACTTCGCACTATAACAACCAATGACGTTTAACCGGTCTGAGTAGCCTAGCGTCCTTATTGGGTCCTATGTCCTTCTAACCCATCCTCTTGAGTCCAGAACACAACAATACCAGCATCTGTAATATGAATCGAATCATTTATTTCAGACATACTCGGTTTATATATCAATCAGACAGACCACAACATACCATATAATAGAAAATAACATGTGTACACAAATAAGTCAAAAAGTGATTGTGAACGCGGGAGACAGTAATTAATAAACTGAGCATAATTTAGAAACAGTAAATCGTACAATGATAAATTATAAGTTAAAGTGAAACTTATAATAAGTGGAATATAAATACACATAATGTAATTCTTAAATAATTATAAAATAAGAATATTTATAGAATATTAGTCCATTAATAGTCCTCGAAAGTTACCTGGGATATAACAGATATGTTTTGTATTAAATTGTAAGCTTGTATTATAACTAGTCTCTTCTAGTCATCCCTTTATTAGTTTTCTATTAACTTACAACGTATTATTATTATTATTGCCTGATTAATTTACTATTCCCTTTTGTTGATTATCATTTCTATTTAGATTGAATCAACCTACTACTGATCATTCAGAATGGAATAATAATACTATTCAAAAGATAATCAATAATTATATATTCCATTTTAATCAAATTTTATATTTATTAAATCACATTTTATTCCCTCAAGAGAATCACACTGATGATGATGATCATGATGATCATGATGATGATGATCTAAATGATGATCCAAATGATGATCCAAATGAAATAGATGTAGATCTAATGAATAAGAATTTTATTAATAAATATTTATTACCTAAACAATTCTATACTAAATTAATTAGTATTAAACCAACCAATCAATTAGCTAAAGTGGATTTCCTTAAAGAATTGATATCTACTATAATAAATAATCCTTTAAATTGTAATCATTTACCACCTAGTAACAATGATATTTTATCAAATACCATTAGTTTAAATATTATTAGAAAATTACAAATTCTTGGCCATGTATTACCATATTGTTTGAAAACGTTAAATATTGAAAATGAAGTATGTCTCTACTATATTATTGTCATTTTTTGTTTTGTTTTGTATTGATTGTTTTAAATGTTCTCCTTTGAATGTTATTGAAGACTATAATTGATCCATCTCTACAATAGTATATGTGTATCTGGTCAGTTAGTTACAACGTACGATCAGGCATATCGATCCAAGTTGCTATATCTCATTAGCACAACAAGATGAACACCGGATTCATAGAAAGAGTTAAGGTAATGGTTTAATATATAATAGAAAGATTTTATGTATGGATATGAAGCGATTATTATCTCATGGTTATGAGAAGATAAAGAGTGTATACATCTACAGCATTGTGATCGATTTTGAGTCATGACCCCATAATGTGGATTGCTTCACTATTTCCAGTATGTCAGAAGCGATGAATGTTATCTAGCAGTGGTGGAATCTAGGATGTGCGTTTTCTCCTTATTTGAAACTATTGTTAGATGAGTGTACCTGTGATAGCATTTGAAGCAAACGGTACTGGTTTCAAGTCCTAAAGTGAACATTAACTCTTAGATTCAGGTACATGGAGGTAACGTGTCCCTAATAGGATGAAGTCATATAAGATATATTACAACTTTGTCATTCATTTCGTCGTGGTTATATGGTTACCAAAAGGGTTGGAGAAATTTTAGTACCAAAGCTAGTGATGTACACTGAACATCTGAGAATCTGGTTCGGAAAGAAATTATGAATTAGAGGGAAAAATGTATGCAATAATATTGAAGCTAAAAACGTAAGAAGGAGATAAACAGTGAATTCATCTGCTGCACTACCATATATACTTTCACACACCGTTTAGTTACTGAATGTGTAGTTTTGCATTCAGTTGGACACCTCTAAGCTATACAAGTTCTCGGTTTATTTGTTCATATCTTTCATGTAAATGATTGGCAACAGAAGATCTATTTCTAAGAGTTTGTATTTTCCGGTTGTTGATGTTAAAGACTACAATTGATCCGTCTCTGTCATCATATGTGCATACTATATGGATCGCTTCAGTATTACTAACTAGTTACAAATTCTTTTGGAGTTTGAAGTGAAATATGTTGGTTTCTAGATTCAATTTTAAAAGCAATACAACCTCATCCGTCCGACAGTTCTCAAATAAAGTTTAACGCACATGATAGATTCTTCTCGTAGACATCATTATAACTTTATGGAAGGAAATCTAGCTCAATGTGATTCACGTTTTAAGATAGAAAAATAAAATGTTATCTATTAAATACAGATACTTTTTGGTTTGTTTATTTCCTCATAGTCAATTATACCTGTAATAAAGTATGATTACTTTGATTTATAAATTGTTTTCGTTCGAATTAAGATTATGTTCTCTTATATGTAAGGTGTCCCCAAATGCCCTGGTACGGCCTAGGGTGAAAAGAGTCAGTCCTCCTTCTCCAAATGGCCACGCTTATACAACCACTGCCAGGAAAGTCCTACTCACTGACTTCTCGTATCACAGGTGTTGTTTACGAAATTGAAAGGATAAAAAGTGAATGTCCAAGTTCGTGGTGGATATGGAGAGTCCACCTAGGGGAGTTGGAAAACCCTGAATCCAAAGCAATGATGTACATGTGCCCCGAGATCCTGAGGAAACAAATAGCGTATGAACCTATTGCTAAGTACAGGCTACCATGAGACTGCATGCCCTGACGTTGCTCCACTGCCTTATGGATTAGACAGACCTTTAGGTCGAAGTCTCCTGGTATGGCCCCCTAAGAAAACCACACACACACACACATCAATTGACTTGTATGGCACATGTATATTTTCGGCACCCCTTTGTATCAATATTTATGTCTTCAAATAAATAACTAAAATAGAATAATTTTTCAATCGATCCTTCTTTTTCTTGTTATTCTTCTTCTTTTACAGATTTGGTTAAATATTCTACAAGAAAATTTATCTATTTGTTTCTCATTATTACCATCAATATTTACATTGAGTTTTGAATATTTCTCCCAAATCAACATAAACCACCACCACGAACAACAACAAGTGTTTACTAATTCACAAGTTCAATTCATTTATCCACATCTTAATGATTTTCTTAATTTATTTATCAAAAAGGATGATGATGATAATAATGATCCTGATCATGATCCTGATCCTGATCATAATCCATTGAATGATTCAATTCGAATTGATTCTATGGATCTTTTAACATGTCTTTTATCTAATACAATAATACGTCGTTTATTTGGTCAAAATTTATTAAAATCTTATTCTAATTCTATCAATGATTGGGATGAATTACATTTTACTAATACACTTACCATATTCATTAAAACATTAAATTATTTACAATATACATTTAGCAAATCACAATTACCATTATTATTATTATTATCTGAATTGAATAATCAACTTTCATTATTATGTATTGAGAATGATATAAATGAATTTCAAATAAGTATAATACAATTATTTGAACAAAATTTAATGCTTGTAAATAACGATGATGGTGATGATGATGATCATCATCATCATGAATTAATGAAGGAGGAGGATTCATTTACTATGATTAAGGAAAATGTAGAACTATTAAGATCAATTATTGAATTAATTGATCTGATCATAATCGATGGTAAGTTCAATTGTTTGTTTGTTTGTTTTTTATTGAGATCATAAACTGATTGATGTTGTCGATGTAGGAAGAATAATAGAAATTGAAGAGAGAGAGAGGTTAATTATGAATACAGTGGTCTTGAGTGCTGTTAGAGGTATGAGGGCGATTATCACTTACCGGTTGCCCACACTGTGGAAGGGTTCTTCTGGAGATATCTGAAAAAGAAATTGGGCTAGAGGTGGTCTTAGTGACCTGAGAGCCTGACCGCAGTGCCCAATGGACAGTTGCTTGAGTTCGGTCACACACGACCTTTTTATGAGTAGTTTTTGTGTTAGCTTCGTACTTGTTGAAACCTTACCACCGGAGACGGATATCCGTGGGATAAGGCGAATTGTGCATTCCTACGTTCGATCTTTTCTAACCCCACCCCTCCTTGTGGGAAGGCAGCATCGCTGTTATGCTGGTTGTCCGAAGGAAACACCTTACTGCTGTCACACCTCTGTACAGTGAGCAGTACGACTTCGCTTTTGGACCTTGTATTTGTTGCTTTTAGACTTACCGCTCTTCAACTGACCTGTCTTGCATGGTAGGACCTTGAGGAACGGTTGTTCTGGCCAGTATAACTCAGTTGCTTCATCACGATAGGCAAGCGCGACCACCACGTCAAGGTAGCAACAACGGTCGGGGATCGATGTTAGACCACCATTGAAAACCTGAAAGTACTGAATAGTCATTTCGTCCTATTGTGGGACTCCTTAACATTGAGCATCTACGATCCTGCTCGTGGGACTCGAACTCGGAGCCTTCGGTCAAATAATCCAGCAAATTCCGCGACCATCTTCTATTATACTGAGGTAGATACCTATCTCTACCCGACACGCATTAGTTGCATTGTTCATGGCTTCTCACTAGAACATCGAGAATTCCTTCACGAACCTAGTCACTAGTGAGCACATGGTAAGTATTAGTATGAGATTATGGAGGTTACTAAGTTTTTTATTGAACCGACCGATGTTAGAGCACCATTGAATTGTCATTTCAATGGTCGAAAATTTTCAACACTTCTCCATGACGTGTTCTTGTGAATGAATGATGAAGACTTATGACTAAATTGGACGCTTTTAGTGATGTTGTATTCTTTTAGCTCTTTATGGAGGTTATATTGTCATTTTAGACATCTTTATATACGTTCATTTAAAATTGAAATTTTCAACTATTCCACAATTATTATATCAGTTTCGAATCATTAATAAACTCACTTCCATATAAAGTAAGCGCTAAACATGTTTTCCAGTATAATAATCTAAATTTCACAATTAACCGATCAACAATATGTTAGATTGTCATCTTTAGATTAAAACCTGATCTTCATTCGATGTTGGATTTATATTTTTTTTTTATTTTTTATTTTAACACATAAGTATAGGTACAGGGAGGCACCAAATACATATGCGCCACACAAATCTCAATTGATTTGTGTGAGGGCTGTGATACTGCAAGGGTGCCCAAACCGAAACAGGTGGTTTTCTTAGGGGGCCACACCCCGAGCCTTCGACCTGAACGTCTGACCCACAAGACAGTGGAGCATCGTAAGGAGATGCAGTCCCATGGTAACCGGTGACCAACGATTGGTTCATACGACATTTGTTCCTTCAGGATACTGGAGCCAGCCCATGTGCACCATTGATTTGGAATCCGGTTAAAGCGCTGGACATTCGCTTTTCGTCCTCTCATTTTTGTAAACAACACCCCCGCCACGAGAAGGCAGTGAGTAGGACTTCCCTGGCAGAGTCTATATACGCATGGCCATGTGAGAGCATTTGGAGAGGGAGAGGGGACTCTCCCCACTCTCAGCCGTACCAGGGCATTTGGGGGCGATGTTGGATTTAGGTACCATAAGTTTGAGATCCATGGTCTTGTATTCAATATGAAAAATAAATATGTTACTAAACCATGTCACCTAGGGGTTACTTTTTCATCTATTTCAAATGTGCTGTTTTTTCAAATATTGATTATAGTTTCACTGAGATTCCTGATACATTGAAGTTATTTTCAAATACAACATCGATTTGGCACAGGCTATTTGAAGTATATACTGTTAACATCATTTGATTTTATTCGTTATTATTAAGAACTGTTAACACGACTAAATGTATTATCCTTGTTTTAATGCAATGATACGATTATACACATCTAATTATAAGTTATCACCTACCTTTTAGCTGTCTAAGTCCTTTTTATTACCTAGATATCCGTACTAATTTAACTGTTCAGCAAATGATGCTTGCTACTCATTTTATCAAAGTTTTCCAACTCCCCTAAACGGGTTGTTCATATCCATTAACCTGATTAAAGCATCAGACATTCTGATTTTTACTCTCTAAATTTCGTAAACAACACCTATGGTGCGAGAAATCACTGAGTAGGATTTACTCAAAGTGGTTGTATAGGCATTGCCACGTTATAGTGCATTTGGAGATGGATAGCTGACTCTCCCCTCACTCTCGACTATACCAGGGTATTATTAAAAGTTCCACAGCATTTAGGAATGCAACACAATGATGACTATTTCAAATTCTTCTGTTATATAATATAAATAATATACTACTTATTTACTTTTTATTTCTTTGTATTTAAGATATATTACCAGATAAATGTAATTTTCTTCAAAATTTATGGATATTATGGTATGAATATTGTGAAAAGTCTGGTTTAATATTTATAAACAATAATTTATTCAATTCTGAATTATTCATATATCAATGGACAAAATGTTGTATTCCATCAATTGAATTTATTAAAGCTGGTTTAAAACAATTATCCAATAAATCTCAATCATCTTATCCAATTACATATCAAGCTGCATTACTTAGTAATGGTCTATTACAATCGAATATTGATTTGATTAATTCAACATTATCTATTTTATCGAATATAAAAGATAATAATTCCATTATTCATCATTTAGATCCTTATGTTTGTTGTTATTTCATATGTAATAATTATAAATATTACTTCAATTTAATTCATAGTAGTATATATAATGATTTAATCTTTTCTAAATTATTCACTTCATTGATTGATTTAATTCAATTCAATCATTTAAATTCAATGATTTATTATAAAATGGGATATCATTTCTGTTTATTATTACGTAATGAAAATAGGTGGTTAGAAGCAATTAAAATCTATAAGATTATTCATCGAATTGAAACAATTAAATTACCAATAGAATATCTTATGACATTAATTAATCAATTAGAAATCGATTATTGAAGAAACAAAACAAAACAACAACAACAACACAATATGATGATGTAATCATATTTCATAAAATATTTTTGTACTGTATAGAAACTGTTTTCTTTTTTTTTTCTTTTCGTTTTTCTCTTTTTTCTTTGTTTGGTTTTGTTGTTCAATGGGTTTTTTTTGTCTCTTTGTGAATAAATTATTATTTTTTCTTTTTTATTTCATGTTGTTGTTGTTGTTGTTGTTGTTCTATTTTTTTTATTGTTTTATGTGAGATTATGAAACGAGTATTAGAAGGAGTTTTGTGGAGATCTTAGTCATTTTAGTAGTTGAGATCATGTGTGAATTGATATTAAACCATCATGAAGAAGCTGGAAGAACTGGATGGCCGTTTCGTCCTGTTATGGGACTCTTCAGCAGTATTTATTTATTTATTTATTTTAACACATAGATATTGATACAAGGAGGCACTAAATGCATATGCGCCACACAAATCTCATTTAATTTGTGTGAGGGCTGTGATACTGCCCGGGTGCCCAAACCGAAGCAGGTGGTTTTCTTAGAGGGCCACATACAGAGCCTTCGACCTGAAGATCTGATCCACAATGCAATGGAGCATCGTGAGGAGATGCAATCCCATGGTAGCCGGTGAACAACGATTGGTTCATACGACATTTGTTCCTTCAGGATACTGGAGCCAGCCCATATGCACCATTAGTTTGGGATCTCAATTTCTTCAACAACACCCCTGATACGAGAATGTAGTGAGTAGGACATCCCTGACAGAGGCTATATACGCGTGGCCATGTGAGAGGATTTCGAGAGGGAGGGCGGACTCTCGGCCGTACCAGGGCATTTGGGAGGCAGTGCGTATCCGCGACCCCGACCATATACTTACTAGCGACTGGCTTCAAGATGTATATTCTGGAGTTCTAGGGAGAAGCAATGACCTGTGGAATTTAACCGGGTCAGTTGTGAGATAGTAACTCACTGATGATAGTGGTGGATGTGTCACTCAATTTCGTGGATTAGTTGAAGTTCGATATTAACACCATTGGATACCGGCTAGCTCAATGTTCTAATGGTTAAGCGCTCGCCAGCGAGGCCAGTAGGTCCTGGGTTCGAATCTCACGAGCACGATTGTGGATGCGCACTGCTGAGGAGTTTAACAATAGAACGAAACGGCCGTCCAGTGCTTCCTGGCTTCAGTTGACTAATAATCTGGTATTGTTAAGTTAATGCTGTTCTATGGGATGTCCCTGTGAATGTAAAATATTGCTTTAGGTTTTATTTTTATCAATATAGTTGAATATGTTGAACAGTTATCTTATCTTTGAAATTTCATCAGAAGTTATCGTTTGGTGTCTGAGGATATATTTGTAGGAATTATAAAAACTCGCTTAACTTTCCTGAACCAGTGACGTCTGACAAGAAAGAACGAATATACTGCACAGCAACTCACTTTATTGTTCTTTATGTCTATGAAACCAGGCGTTTAAAAATAGATGATATTCGTAGGTTTCTATTACTTGATTTGTGTGTTTGTTGCATTGCGTATAATTAAATTACTGAATGAGCATTGCTGGGGTAGCGAATCTTTATCTATTGGGGTTGGGATTTATTATTCGTATCTTCACCAACCCCCTAAGCAACGCGCTATGTTCGCTGGTGTAGGGGTAGGTTAGATGGAAGATACGGACGGCAAAAGCGAAACGACTGTTGATCTGACCCATGTTCAGTAAGTTCAGGTTACCTATTCTGGGTACGTGCGATTATTGAAATCAATGGTTCTAGACGTTGGATGACATAGCATAGATTCGGTTGCATAAATGCATTTACTCTTTGCCTTCTCCTGGATTTTCGTTTTCGAAAATATCTTTTACTTTTGTTTTCTATAAATTCATTTTTTCTCCAACCCTTAATTTTTAACTGAAATTCACTACTTCTATGAATCTAGGATTTGTCCCAATAACTTCATCTCGCTGTGCTAACGTGGTACCTCACATATATACTAGCTTCTACAGTGGTTATGAATGACAGAGTCCGCCATGGTTTATTTTTATAAATACCCATGTGGGATATATCAATCTGTCTTTCTTTTCAAGTTTCAGTGAAATCAATACATGAATGAACTAAACATTTTGATAATAGAAATTAGAACGCTTTCTGTCAGATTAATTTAAAGCTTTGAGCAACGTTTCTCAATTACACTGATTGTTTACTGTGATCATAGTAACCTGAACAGTGTATAGGTTGATAGCTATTTTAAGATTGTTAGTGATAATTTAACATCAATCTTCAAATTACTATTGTACATTATCAATTAGAAACCATTAATAAATCGTGTTATTATAGCATATTATAATGCTCATTGGTTTTTAGACATAGACAAATATGTTGTTAGATAACATCTTGATTGAATTCAATTGAGATTCGCCCTAAATGTTTCTTATTGTTTTGCCAAATTTATAAAAGTCCTTCAAATTACTGACCGAAACTTTTTGAATACATGGTTATTTGACTTGAACATTGTCTTTAAACTAGTATATTGCAAAAGCAGAGTTTCTAACTAACATGCAAACGCTCTGACAGTAGGTTTTCATTTTAGTTGGTCTGAAGGTAGGCAATATTAAACTGTAGATCTGAGTCTCGTGCTAGTCAACTTTTTTCGGCAAGACATGCTTATAATTATAAGCATAAGGAGAAATATCGTCTAACATGACGACCCCCTACAGTTAACCACCAATGAACTCAAATAGACCATATTGCCTTCAGTCGTCGTTGGAGAGAGTCGGTAAAAGATTTTCGCTTATTCTAGAGTACCTACTTCGACTCCAATCTTGTGTCAATACAAACACTCAACTGCTTGCACCTCACTGGACACAAAAAAAACCGCACTAAAAAGACCCATTAGAACTAACTGACAATCTTCCATAGTTAATGGGGATATACTAGTTCTAAGAAAATTGAGTAACATCTAGCAGGTCACACATTATCCAGTTCAGTTCTGCAAGGAATTGTTTACTATTAGTTCATTATTTTGATTTCAAATACAATACTAATTGTCCCAGTTTTTATCTCTCAAATTTAATGAACATAAAAATCAAACTATTAACCCTATGATGTATCCTATCAGATATCTCATGCAAGAGCATACATGTATTTAACACATCATATGCTACTCTGCCAACATGTTATTTATGAGTTCATTCTTTATATATATATATATATATATATATATATATATATATATATATATATATATATATATATATATATATATATATATATATATATATATATATCAGTTTATGAGTCGTTATAGTAGGTGAAGCGGATATGAAAGGTATGAATAAGAACTGGAAAGGATTGCCCAGGACAGGGTTGGATGGAGAATGCTGGTAAGCGGCCTATGCTCCTTCACGAGGAGTCACAGACGTAAGTAAGTAAGTAATAGTAGGTGAAGATTCACACAATGAATAGAAGATTTGATTTGAAATTTATAACAGTCCATTTTTATAATTTAACTATTCTATTTCTAACAAAATATTCATATGATTAAAAGATTTTAAAGAAAACATCTTAGTTCATCATATTTTGTATGAAAACAGTTAGTTGATTAAAAGAAGAGATTAATGTATTGAAAATATTCATAGAGTAATCCTGTATACACGTATAAATCTGTTTGTTTGTTTGTTTGTTCGTTTGTTTATATCTATATGTGTATAGATTTAAAGGTGTCTATTTATACTAGAGGTTTATTAGTTTGTTTAAATTAGTTATACTACTATGAATTAAATTAGTTCTTAACTACACGATAGGTTTTTCTTTTTCTAATCCATCGACCTCCAATTATATTATTATAAGAGTAATTTACAAGAGGATTAATATGAAATGGATTCTTATTATAGTGATGATGATGATGATAATGATCTTGTATTATGAATATACTTTTGTTGAAAGTACCATAGAGATTGATGTATGGAAAGAGGAGAAAAAAAAGAACAAAAGTAATTAAACCGTTAAATGTTACTGGTCCATTTGGGTTTGTTTTCACTAATCTTTTACTGTATTAATAATCAGTCTTTGTATGTATAGACTGATATATATATATATATATATATATATATATATATATATATATATATATATATATATATATATATATATATATACACAAAAATCTTATGGATGATTATTGACAATTATCTAATTTAATCTAAGTTGATCCCATCTTTGTTCTTATGTTCTTTTCTTCTTCTTCTTCTTCTTCCTTTTTTTTCTTTTTTTTTGGTATGACTTCATTTTGTCGGACAATGTACGATGCAATCTTCTTTTTTGTTTTCGAAATTAGTATGATATGCTTTCGTTGGTGAATTTATTCTTTGAAATGGTTATTTTTACCACTAAACTTAGGATCAGGCAATATAATTCCCATTTAAATATTTTGAAACAATCTCTTGTCAACAAATTTCTGATTAAACTGTACTGTATTGAACAAGAATATAACTGAAGACAATTGAATGTATTTGAATATATAAAATGTTAATCAATTGTCTTAAACTTCATTGTTCCTTGATTTCCATATCAATCATTCATTGTTCTCGTTCTGTTTTCCTCTATCTCTTTAACATTCTACTTTCGATTGATGATACATATCACTTATAACTGTTGACATGCGTAGCACACATCACAGTACAATCATATATATATATATATATATATATATATATATATATATATATATATATATATATATATATATATATATATATATATTACTTACGCCTGTTACTCCCAATGGAGCATAGGCCGCCGACAACCATTCTCCAACCCACTCTGTCCTGGGCCTGCTTTTCTAGTCCCATCCAATTCTTGTTCATTTTTCTCATATCTATCTCCATTTCCCGGCGTAATGTATTCTTTGGTCTTCCTCTCCTCCTTCGACATTGAGGATTCCATATGAGGGCTTGTCTTGTGACGCAGTTCGGTGTTTTCCTCAATGTGTGTCCTATCCACTTCCAGCGCTTCTTCTTGATTTCTTCCTCCACTGGGATCTGATTTGTTCTCTCCCACAGTAGGTTGTTGCTTATAGTGTCCGGCCAGCGGATCTGAAGTATTTTGCGTAGACAACTGTTAATAAACACCTGTATCTTTTGGACAATGGATATCGTAGTTTTCCAGGTTTCCGCGCCATACAGTAGGACTGTCTTGACATTTGTATTGAAAGTGCTGACTTTGGTGTTGGTTGCTAATTGTTTTGAGTTCCAGATATTCTTCAGTTGTAAATATGCTGCTCTTGCTTTGCCAATCCGTGCCTTCACATCTGCATCAGATCCACCGTGTTCATCGATGATACTGCCCAAATATGTAAAGGTTTTTACATCTTCCAAAGCTTCTCCGCCAATCGTGATTGGATTGGTGCATGCTGTGTTGTATCGAAGAATCTTGCTTTTCCCTTTGTGTATATTAAGACCTATTGCTGCTGAGGCTGCCTCTACACTGGTTGTCTTCTTCTGCATTTGTTGTTGTGTATGCGATAGAAGAGCCAGATCATCATATATATATATATGAGAGTCTAGGTATTAGTTCCGTGCAAATAAGTTGGTATTATTTCATAGTATTTGTCGTGTTCAATTTTATATCATTGAAATCGATAAAGTATACATATATGACTATTAAGTTAAAATATATACATTAAATCATATTGTTTAACTTGTTAATTCCGTTACATAAAACAACAAAACTCTATGAGTATGAATGGTAACATGTTAATTTTTTAATAAGTTTTAAATTGTAAGATGGATTCTAGAATTCCATCGTAATTGTCAACAAATATCAAATAACGTACAGAATATTCACATATAATTAACACAATTAATCATTATTAGTGAAATTATATCCTCGGAACTGATTGATTTATCAAAAACAGGTTTTTGTGGATATTATAACAATTTTTAATCGTTGAGTTCATGAATCCATTGAAGCTTGATCACTATGGAAACACTGGACAATCGTTTTGTTCTATTATGTGACTTTTTTTTTTAGTAAAGCAAATCCACGAACCCACTTGTAAGATTCGAACCCAGCATCTATCAGTCTCATTCTCGAACGTTTAATCTCTACACCACTAATCTGGCATTTAACGGTGTTATTGTTTAACTTTAAACAATCTACGAAATTGCTGCACTTTCCATTGTCTTTAGTGAGTTACTATCTTATAACAGACACGGTTGAACTTCACTAATCTCTGCTTCATTTAAGAACTTCAGAAAATAACTCTTGACATCATTCACTAGAATATAACTACTATATCATCATTAAAATTAATCACTTATGACACAGAACAATTATAATTAAACATATAACAACACTGTATGATGAATTGAATATTAAACTAATCATGACATGAAACATTTCAAAAAACAAGTTCATAATTATTATTATTATAGTATTTTATATTCTTTATTAACTTTGAATAGATAAGCTAAACATTAAAAATCTAATATGTTTCATTTGTTTTAAATGAAGCTAATAATAGGAATGTTAGTAGTATTAGTATTAGTAGTAGTAGTAGTAGTAGTATTAGTAGTATTCATATTAGTAGTATAAGTATGTTTAAATGAATTTTAATAGAGAGTTTCATTTTAAAAAATTTTTTTGTTGTTGTATACATTCATACACACTTGTGTTATATATTTGAATATGAATAAAAGATCATTCTATTCTTTGTTTTATATAAAAATTGAATAGATCACTAACAAAGAAACAAAAAACAGATCAAGAATACAATCTAATCCTCACTGGAATAATTCATGTAACCAACCACATACTCACACACACACACACAAGATAAAGAAAAGAAAAGAAAAGAATCTCTATCTTTTTTAACAAGACCAACAATATGAATACATAATGATAGTGTCCAATTATACTTGTCAAGTGAGTGAATAATAACATTCTCATATTCTTAGTAACTATGATTATTTCTTATATGAAGGTGAATAATATTTTAAAGAAAAAAATATATAAAAGTACCGTACTTTTTTTTTGTTTTAAACAATATCATCTGATGAATTACCTAATCGTCCAAGATGAGATCCATGTGTTTGAGTTGATTTTAGCTTATTATTATTATTATTATTGTTAATATTTGATATATGACTAATAGTTGTCATTGGTGTACAACTTGTTAAAATAGGTTCATTGATAACATTAATAGATGTAATTGATTGATTATATTTAATAGAATCTTTATGAATAGAATTGATTATATCATGATCATTCTCATGATTATGATTATGATCATGATCATTATGATCATTATGATCATTGTTACTCTTTGATTGTTTTATCCAAGTATATGAATTGATTGTATTAGGTATTGAATGATTTTCATGAATAATTGGATATTGTTTCATATGAAATAGATGTTGATCATTTTTATTCATACAAAAATATGTTGGTTCTGATGTAATTTGTTTTAAAAATAAATGTTCATAACTTTTCCATAATTCTGCTGTTAATTCACCAGCTAATAATATACCACAATTAGATGTAATTAAACGTATTACAAATAAACCATCTAAACTTAAATAATAATCAATAAATTGATGAATTTGATTATTGATTTTTAATTGATTATTTATTGGTATAATATTTAATACTTTTAAATAATCAATAATAAATTTTATTCTTGATTTAGGCCAAAATATACGATATATCCATATAATAAAACTAATTAAATTAATACATGCAATTAATACATGCCAAAACCATAAAAATATATAAATTTTCTCTAAGAACATATTTAATGGTAGAACACATTGTAGAGTATAGCTGAAATAGAAATAATAATAATAATAATAATAATAATGAAGATCTATATAAAGTATATTATAATAACTATAATATAATAATTTCATATTTAAATCATACAGAAATGTAAATGATAAAGGCCCCCAAATGCCCTGGTACGGCCGAGAGTGAGGAGAGTTCACTCTTCCTCTCGAAATGCTCTCACATGGCCACGCGTATATAGCCTCTACCAGAGAAGTCCTACTCACTACATTCTCTCACCACGGGTGTTGTTTACGAAATTGAGAGGACAAAAAGCGAATGTCCGGCACTTTAACCAGATCCCAAACCAATGGTGCACATGGGCTCCAGTATCCTGAAGAAACAAATGGCGTATGAACCAATTGTTGGTCACCGGTTACCATAGGACTGCATCTCCTTACGATGCTCCACTGCCTTGTGGATCAGACCTTCAGGTCAAAGGCTCAGGGTGTGGCCCCCTAAGAAAACCACCTGGTTCGGTTTGGGCACCCTTGCAGTATCACAGGCCTCACACAAATTAAATGAGATTTGTGTGTCGCATATGTATTTGGTGCCTCCTTGTACCAACACTTATGTGTTAAAATAAAATAAATAAATAAAAATGATAAAGAAATTGTGCATGTGATACTTACTTACATCTGTTACTTCTAATGAAATATATAGGCCGTTGACCATCAGTGTAATACTGTCTAACTATATATATGTTATACATATGTACATTGGAACTCAAAACAATTGTCAACCAACGCCAAGGTCAACATTTTCAATACAAATGTCAACACTGTATGTGGCGTAAACCTGGAGAACTACGAAAGCCATCATCCAGAAGATATAGGTGTTTATTAACAGTTGTCTATGCAAATTACTTTTGGATCCGTTGGCCAGATACTATTAGCAACAACCTACTATGGGAGAGAACAAACCAGATCCTAGTGGAGGAAGAAATCAGGAAGAAGCGCTGGGAGTAAATAGGACGCATATTGAGAAAAGCACCCAACTATCCATCACAAGATAAGTCCTCACATGGAATCCTCAAGGCCAAATGAGGAGAAGAGAAAGATCAAAGAACACATTACGCCGGGAAATGAAGATAGATATGAGAAAAATGAACAAGAATTGGATGGGACTAGAAAAGAAGGCCCAGAACACAGTGGCTTGGTTGGAGAATGCTGGTCGGTGGCCTATGCTCTATTAAGATTAACAGGCGTAAGGAAGTAAGTAAAGTAACATGTGTATATAGTATGGGTATTTATCACAAATTCAATGATTTGTTTATATATATATATAAACTGAACATTAGATTACATAAAGACAGAAAGTGAAATTACATTGATAGTTTATATTCCTTCATATAATTATCTATTATCGCAGCAATCTATAAAATTAATGATTAAAATCAAGTGGATTGGACACATTACTGTTTGTCTGAGGCAAATTATTTGTTGTGAATATATAAAGTTTCTAAGTAGAGATGGATGGTGGCTAATAGTCGAAACCAGGACGTGCATTTCATCTCACGTAAGAGTCGTTAGCTGGATATACATGCATCTCAGAATTGATGTTGACTCCGCCACTCAAACCCTGTACCGTTCGTTTCAAAAGCCATCAAGTTGTCTACTCAGCTACTTAGTCTTAATAGCCACTTGCTTGTGCAATGGAGTGAAATTTAATTCATTTTTGGATTGGTTGTTTCAATCTTCTCATTGATGTTCAGGACTGAAATTGATCAGTCATTTATTGGACAACGCGATGGCGTTTAAAGCAAACGGTATTGGGTTTAAGTCGTGGAGTGAACATCAACTCTATATAAATTAAGGTGACGAGTCTCAGAATACGAAGAAATGCGCGTCGTGGATTCTATTGCTAGCTGCCATCTATCTTTGATTATAATGGTTTTGACATTTAAGAAAATAGAAATATTATTAAAATTCAAGACTTCGAAGGGAAGTTTGATCAGTCTTGATTGACATATGGATATCCTCGATTTTCGGTTAAAAATATTAACTACAGAATAATCTAAACTATTTCAAATTGCATTAAATCTCATAATCGTTGTACATGTATGTGCCTGTCTGCACTCAGTAACTCAGTGAATAATTTGATGACATTTGTAACAAACGGTACTACTTTCGAGTCTCAGGGTGGACGGTAGCTCTAGGATCCAGATACACCAAAGTAATTAGTCTGAAATTGGAAGAAATACGTGTACTGGATATCACTACATTCCGTTTTGTATATAAACTGTTTGACATCTTACTTACCGCCTGGTTGATAGATCAACATTTCCCGAACATTACATGTAACTGAAGTCTATAAAAAGTCAATGGAACTCTCTAAATTCGTATCGAGTTATCGCCAGCAATGGCCTACCGAGTCAAATCATAACATCAGATTGAGTAACATGATCAGATTCAGGGGTCTGTATGTTTGTATCTGTTCATATGCTTTAATCTATTATTCATTTCTGTCTGATAGCTTTTAATTTGATCAGGAAATTTACAAAAATTAATATTATATAAACCAAATCACAATGTGTTTCTGTGTAAATCTCTCTAATATCTTTTATATCAATGTGTTGGTATGTTTTGGTTGGATTCAGCATAATCTCCATGTCATGAACCAACTTTTAAAAAAATGCTGCTTGTCCCAAAAAAGAAAACACGCCGATTCAATGATCTGTCAGTTCGAAAAACTCATCATTATGTCAATAGATTATTGATAAAGTTGTAGTGAACAAGAACACCAATGAGGACAATGGAATGTCTTTGATAACAAATTACAGAACGACCTAGTAAAATCTAACAATCATATAAGTAAATGCTCAATTTGCACAATGTCCATCAATTGTCTCAAATGACTCAAACTTCCTTTGTTCTTGCATTTTCATACTAATTGCATTCTGTCTTCATTGTTTATTGTTCGATCTTCTTGTCTCTCTGATGCCAGACATTCTGTTCACGACTCACATCATATACTACTTATGTCTACATATCAGTAGCACACACCACAAAGTAACTATTGAAATTAATTCTTGGTAACACAATGAAAAGTTTTCATCATTAAACTTATTTCCTTATTTTTTTAAAAATAAATAAAAGAGTTAAGTTAATTAGTTAAAAAAGTCCAGTTATGCGAATAATAAGCTATTTAGTGATTGACATTAAGAAACAATTAAGTCAATCAATCAGTTAGTCAGTAACAACGTAGAATTTCGTACGTACGTATTTTGCAAATTAACGATTCACTATATGATTGTTAGATTTTATTAACAAGTGCTGTAACTTGTTGTCAAATACCATTCGGTTGCCCTCACCTGTGTTCTCTTTCATTACATTTGGTGTCGCTGCCAACCACGAGAGGGGAAGGGTGCTGTTCTGTGGACGCCATTGCGGGCCTGGAGCGGAGGTGCAGGTTGGGGCATTCTGGTGCAGAGAGGCGGTATCTGGTAGAGTGCTCTGGCGGGGCGGCATTGGCTGTAGCAGGTGCTGTCGACGGAGAGGAGCGTCGAGACGTGCGGCTGCTGGGCGGGCATCGGATGTAGATGGCTCAGTAGGCCGGTGGAGCACGGGTGTTAGACTTCCCAGGTGCCGGGTGGAGGTCGGATATTGGTGCCCCGATAGGCCGACGGAGATATGGAGGTCAGTGAGCCGCAGACTCGACATTTTGACGGAGGGCGTTGCACAGATTGCAGGAACGAAGAATGTTGCACGGCGAGCAGAACCACCGCAAAAATGACTGCTATTAAAGGGGGTACGAGTGTGGTGTGCGCTAGTTATATTGATACAATAAGTAGTATATGACGCGAGTTAAACACGTAATGTCTGACAGCAGAAGATGGGGGACGATTAAGAAAGGAAGAGCGGGAACACAATGCAATTTTTATGAAAACTCATGAACAATGAAATGTCAGACAATCGATTGATGTTTACAACAGGAACAGTCTAGTTTGATAAGATGGAATGGTAGTTTGCAAATTAACCATTCACTATATGGTTGTTAGATTTTAATAATAAGTTCTGTAATTTGTTGTTAAATACATTCGGTTGTCTCCACTCGTGTTCTGTTTACTACACGCATATCAGTTCGAGTTGCCATGCAACATTTATTTATTTATTTATTTCAACACATAAATATCGGTACAAGAAGGCACCAAATACATATGCGCCACACAGATCTCATTTGATATGTGTGAGGGCTGTGATACTGCCCAGGTGCCCAAACTGAAGCAGGTGGTCTTCTTAGGGGACGACACCCCGAGCCTTCGACCTGAACGTCTAACCCACAAGGCAGTGGAGCATCGTGATGAGATGCAGTTCCATGGTAGCCGGTGACCAACGATTGGTTCATACGCCATTTTTTTCTTAAGGATACTAGAGTCAGCCCATGTGCACCATTGGTTCGGGATCCGGTTAAAGCACCGGAAATTCGCTTTTCGTCCTCTCATTTTCGTAAACAACACCCCCGCCACGTGAAGGTAGTGAGTAGGACTTCCCTGGCAAGGGCTGTATACGCGTGGCCATATGAGAGCATTTCGAGAGGGAGAGTGGACTCCCCCCACTCTCGGCCGTACCAGGGCATTCGGGGGCCCATACAACATTCCCGCATAGATACAATTGTCGTTTCAAATCCCTTAGTGATAAACGGTAGTAACAATTAAAGATAGAATATTTATTACTTATGTAATAAAAAGAAACGCGATAATATCTATTCTAATTATTCTATTGAATATAGAAAACAATCATAGAAATTATTCAACAAAAAAAAATCTCTATTTTAATACTTTTATTTGATAGAAATTAATTTATTTATTCATTATAACTTACACATGATTTTTACCTAATTTTTTTGCTTCCAAATCACAAAATGTTACACGTGGAAAATGACCTGAATGATGCCATTCTTGTCCTTTAATTAAATCAATTAATACTTGTGCACCATATAATGTATATTTTGTACCAATAAAATATTGCATTAAATAAATTTGTCCAATAACATTAGATAAATAACTAAATTTAACAAACATATAAAGTGTAACAAGATAATTTCCATGTTTTTTACCACACCATAATAATCGATAATTGAACATTGTGAAAATCGATAATTTTTTCTTCTTTTTATCAAGATCTATTTAGTTCAATGAAAAAAAAAACAAAAAAACAAAAACAAAAACAAAAAATAATACATCAATTTAAGTGTTGTAGAGATTGTCAAGTTTTTGATTGAGATCATGAACTGATTGATGTTAGACCATTATTAAAAACCTGGAAGTACGAGACTGAAAGCCTTGGGTTCGAATTCCATGGGGAGTGGGGATCGTGGATGCGCACTACCACTGAAGAGTTCTACACTAGGACAAAACAGTCGTTTAGTGCTTCCAAGTATTCAATGATGATCTAATATCAATCGGTTCATGATCACAATCAAAAAAAATAAAACAATTTGAGAATGTATGATTTATGATATTGTTTGTGTTTTATTAAAATGTTTTCATAAACATTTGAAAATATCAAAATCTTTGAAGGAAAATTAGTTGAAGGTAAAAAGGAAAACAAAACAACAACAACAACAACAACTAGATCTAACAAACTGTTTTCCTGTGATGTAACAATTCACCCTTTGAATGGTTAAGATCATGAGTCAGTTGAAGCTAGACCATGGTGGAAGCACTGAACGACTGTTTCGTCCTATGTCGTATAAATCACCATTTATAAATATAAAGCATGAATATCAAAATTGACGTGTTAGAATAATTTTAATTAAACATTCTGTTAGGGTTGAAAAGCTGTCACGGGTTCACTCAGTCTACGAACGAGAACAAGATTCGATGACCAACGACCAGTAAGCTAACTATTGACGCGTCCCAGCCCCAGCTATCTAGAGAGAGAAGACCAAGCTTAGAATGGAAGTATATTCTGCAACATCCAGAAAATCAGTGAACCTTTTTTACAAGACAATTTTAAAACGTATATATACAAGTACATATATATCGATATTGCCATGGAGCTTCTAAACATATAATCGATAAATTCGTCAATCGACTATATGCGTGGGTGGTAAGAAATGCCCCCATATACATGTGCATACAAGCTCCGCAAGATAAAATTACAAACTACAAGTTGTTGGGGGGATCTATCGTCCCCAACACATTCTTTGAAAACTAGTAAACACTGGACAATTGTTCTTTCCTGGTATAGAACTGCTGAGAAGTACACATCTATGACCTCGTATTTAAACCAAATGTCTTATATATCTGGCCTTAGTCAATATGCAATATTATGTGACTATAAATCATTTCTTGTGGCAATACATGTTGCATACTTCACATGGTAGGACAATCTTCATTACATCCTAGAATAATAAATAAACACATATTATTTTCTCCACTAATCATTGAAATACGTTTAATGCATAATTAAGAATAGTATACCCAAATTGAAATAGAATTTTACTGACTTAAACAATCGGTGGTGAAGAAGATTTATAGCTCAAGTGGATGATTTTGATGAAGTTTTGTTCTCTGAGCTAGATGGTTTGATTGTGTCTAACCATCCAGCTCACAGAACATAACTCCATCAAAATTAAACAATCGGTACTCAATATCATCTCTGTTTATAAAATATTTTCTTTTCATTTATCATAAAGTTAGTAGGATTATATACGCAAACTGTAGTGAAAGAAAACATAAATGGAAATAATTTAATGTATTTAAAAACAGCATTACGGAATTCATTTAGTATTGTTTGGCTTGTATCTTCCCATTGAGTTTTTAAGACTGCAATTGATCAGTCTGTTATTCGCACATGTGGATACTATGCGTATTGCCTCGATATTGCCTTAATTCACAAGCTTTTTGTAGTGTAAGCAATGAGTCCTAGAGTGAACATCAGCTCCAAGATACAGTTACATACATCTGACGAGATCCAAATAGGACGAAACACGAGTCAAACTGGATTCCACTACTAGCCACTATCTATCATTGCTTACTACAAAAACATTACGAAATCTTTCAATAAATTCTTCATTTTCAAAATAATCATTCAGTAATTTCAGACTTGATTTTTCTTTCGTCTCTATATCAATCATTCTCTGTTCTCATTCTCTTCTCTTCAATTTGTTTAATCTTCTGCCGCCAGATATTTCACTTTTGATGGATGACATATATATACTACTTATATCTATTGATATCAGTAGCACAGAATAATTGATTAAATCATTCATTCACATGAATATCTCAAAGTAAAATGCTTCAAATTATTCATACCTCAAAAATAACACCAAAAAAAACAATTAAATTTTTTTCAGTTAATTTTCTTCTTACCGTTACCATCAAACTGAAAAGTAGCATTTCGTTTTTGTCTTTATCAATTTCATTTGTCTAGTCAGGTAGTTTTGTTTTTTTAAATTAAATGAAAAAAAAAATTTTTTTTTTCAAAACACACACACCAAAAAAACTTTTTTTTTACTAATCAATTTGAGAGAAATCAACATAGAAACTAAATGATAAATGAGTAAAACAAAACAAAAAAAATCGATAATCAATTTCTTGAAATAATCAATAAGAATAGAAAAAACAAACAATAGTTTTCACCCTGCCCCCACCCTTTTTTTTAATGATGAATGATTGAAATGGACATCAATGAAATCATCTTTTAAATGAGCCATATCACAGGAATAAAAAGTAAACATTAATAAATATGATATGTCATTTGTTGAAATCATGAGTCTATTGAAGTTAGACTATTATGGAAAACTTGGAAGCATTGGATGATTGTTTCGTTCTATTTTGGGACTCCTCAGTCGCAGTGCGTATGCACGATTCGACCTCACACGATTTCAACCCCAGGACTTGTCAGTTTCGCGTGCAAACGCTTAACCATTTCGTATAATTGGATTCATGAGTTTGTAGTATCTAGTTATATGATAAGTTAATTTATGTATTTTTTTGAGTCACATTTTTACCTTGTGAATAATTCACTTATAAACGTTGACTTTTCATCTAACTGTATGAATTTATTATTTATCCTATGCAGTATATATTCTTGATTTATTTTTGTCTGACTTTAAATATTGAATCAAGGTTTATCAAATGGAATTGGGACACTTGTCATTTCCGCTTGTCATTATTGTCTGTCTGAGTAAACGACTATCTGAAATAAATTCATCCAAGTTAATCCATATTAAGCTTCTTAGTGTTACTATCGTGAGAACGGGTTTAGTCAAAGTGTAATATACTGAGTTAAATGAAAGATTTATATTCATATGTTCGTTTAAATTGGAGTCAAATAACTTAGTGTAAACAAAATGAATCGAAATGCGCAGTTTACCTTATCTAAAACTCATAACTTAGATGCACCATAGAATGAATGTTGATGTTATCACTCATGCTGTAATCTAGGTATACTCTATTTCAAACACTACCTATGTAAATGATTATTTTTGTTGTTTTCCAAATGAAGTCCATTATGGACAATTAAGAAATTGTAACATGCACAGGCTATTGGTTGAAATGCGGTTTCATCTTTTGATGTGAAGAGATTGATATTTATGAATAAGTTGTTTTTTTTTTATATTCTCTATTCAGTAAGCAAATAAAAGTTTCCTACTCACTCTTGATTTCCTCATGTAAGTAACTGAATGAGGAGAGCATTTAAGAAGTGTATATTATCAAGTACACACTTGTGTATATGATCAAGAAATATTGCTGGGATTACTGGGTAAGTAATAGTGAGGTTAGACGCAAGGTACAAGGGAATGATGGTAAATCAGTTGATGAGGTTATGAATCTTCATCGACTGAGATGGTTGGGCCACGTGTTGCGTATGCCTGTACACCGATTACCACGACGCGCAATGCTTACTGGTGTTAGGGATAATTGGAAGAAAGTTAGGGGCGGCCAAACCAAAACGTGGCATCAGTGCGTGAAGTCACTAACTAACGTCTAGTCTGAGCCATGTTGGGAGATTTAGACTGCCTGGTTGGGGTCCGCACGACTGTCGTAACCAATGGTTGGAGACTCTTGGTGACATGGCTCAGAATCGATCACAATGGCGTCGATGCATACACTCTCTGTCTTCCTTCAAACTTAGAGATTAAAATCGTTTCATGTCTTTCTTTCTACGAACTAATTCTTTCTTCTTGTATTATATCCTTATACACAATCTTTCTTTTATATACTACTACCCTTGATGTGACTACTTCTATGAATCCTGTGTTCGTTTTGCAGTGCTAATGCGGTATGGCAACTTGGACCGATGCATATATGTACCTGGTCCTATGTTGCAGCTGACTGACTGACCGACTGTATATTATCAAAAGAACATTCAAACGATTTAAAAAAAAAACACTGAAGTATAGGAAGCTTACTTTATGAAAATTGTGTGTGTGTATGTGTGTATGTATAGATGTGGAGATAAACGTTATACTAATTATCTAAAAAGTGTTTATAACTATAAGTTATTATTTAACATATTTTTGCTTATTACTAAATGCATTAAACTACAATTGAAGTAGACGATAGACTGTTAGGGAATTTTCAGTGGAAGCCCAAGCAAAAGTTACGTCTTTAGAAGCTTAAACATGTTTAGTTCAATGATCCAGTTGTAATTTATACATTTTAGGCATTAAGGTAGTAATAGCACCTAGTAAAATCAATTCATTAACTTATTATGGATCCGTTTGTTTTCATCAGTAGTACTTTAATGTTAGTATTTGTTCTCAGAAACTGTACAAAACTCTCTTTTAGTAAAAAAATTAGTTTATAAATCGAAGCTCTCCGAGGGTATCCAACTATTAGCTTAACTGAAATCATTAATATGTGAAAGTTCAAATCTTTCCGTAGATAATATCAAGATTCATAATGCATCATCCTTAGTGGGTAGTGCACTAAGCTTTCAAAATCAAAAGTATAGTTCCTAATCTCTGTGTAAACATTAACATTGTAATACAGATATATCCACTTGACAAGTCCTAAAGTAGATGAAAAATACGTTCTCAATTCCGCTACTAATCACTATTTTTAGTTCATAGGTTTTCTGACCATTCTCAACATTTTGAATAATTTAATAGTTGAATTCATTAGTCGATTAAAGCTAGAACATCAAGAATAACCTGAAAGCACTGGATGGCCGTTTCGTCCCAGTATGGGACACCTCAGCAGCCCATATCCACGACAGCGACCGCGGTACTCAAACCACCAATAATCTTTCACATATTTAACAAATGCTTGGTTAAATTTATAATCACTCTAAATGTATTTAAACTTTATAAGTTATATCTCTAAATATCTGATTATATTATTAACCGGATGTATATAGATACACTTTTATTTCTAATGTATACACATCTATATTATCTTACTACTATTTCGAAAAGTAATAGACACTACTTAAATTGATGAATTGAATTGTAAATAGTATGTTACTTGGTAAAACTTATTGATTAAAAATTAATCGAAAAATTTACACAAATAAGAATAAAACTAAGAAATGATTAAGCATAGATGGATAGTGGCTAATATTACAATGCACGATACGCGTTTCGTCCTATTTAGGACTCGTTAAATGAATGTATTTGCATCTCAGAGTTCATGTTCACTCCGGGTTTCAAACGTCATCATGTTGTCCACTTAGTTACTGAGTCCCGATAGTCATCTGCTTGTGCAATGAAGTGAAGTTTCAATTCACCAAGTGAACAAGAAATGATTGTATACTATTTGAATTATGATACTATCTCTTATTAATAATGATTGAAGCGTAGAAAAATGTTTCCAATAATTAAGAATTAGTTACATTTAAGTATTGTATTCAATAATGTTTTTAATGTTTCGTACATACAACTTTATTGATTAACTTAGAAAGAATATGAAAAGTAGTTCAAGCTGTAAGATCATATGATTAATGGGAAGGATTTTCAGAAGAAAATTACATTTACATATACCTGAAGTTATTAGAAAACTCACAGGGTAAATAATATAAAACTTACTTACTGACTTACGCCTAATACTCCTAATGGAGCATAGGCCGCCGATAAACATTCTCCAACCCACTCTGTCCTGTATATTCCTTTCTAGTTCTATCCAATTCTTGTTCATTCTACTCATGTCTATCTCCGTTTTCCGGCGTAATGTGTTCTTTGGTCTTCCTTTTCTCTTTTAGCATTGAGAATTCCAAGTGATGAGGGATGCCTTGTGACGCAGTTGGGTGCTTTCCTCAATGTGTGTCCTATCCACTTCCAGCGCTTCTTCTTGATTTCTTCCTTCACTGGGGTCTGGATTGTTCTCTCCCATAGTAGGCTGTTGCTAATAGTGTCCGGCCAACGGATCCGAAGTATTTTACATAGACAACTGTTAATAAACACTTGTATCTTCTGGATGATGGCTTTCATTGTTCTCCAGGTTTCCTCCCCATACAGTAGAACTGTCTTGACATTTGTATTGAAAGTGCTGACTTTGGTATTGGTTGCCAATTGTTTTGAGTTCCAGATATTCTTCAGTTGTAAATATGCTGCTCTTAGTTTGCCAACAACATAAAACGTTTACCATAAAATATGATTCTGGTCAGTAAAATTATGAAAATAAGCATTTCTTCAAATAATCTCGGTAGATTCTGAAAGTAATTTTGTTATATTTTTACAAGTCAACTGACAAGAATGACAAATATTTTAGAGTTGTTCATTATCATTATTTAACAACTAAGTTAGACATTAATACCATTGGATGCCGGCTCACTTGTTTAGAGGTTAAGCTCCTGATCACAAGACTGATAGGTCATGGATTCGAATCTCATAGATGAAATTGTGTATACGCACTGCTGAATAGTCTCATACTACGATGGAACGATCGTCTAGTGCTTTCATTTCTTTCATGATAGTCTAACTTCAATTAAATTATGAATTCAATTATTAAATAAACAATACTTACTTTTGATAGTTTGATTTAATTTATCATTATCAGTTAAATTTTTACAAGTTGATATCTTTCTGCTCTGTTGAATATTGCTGATATTTTCTAACGGTTTAATATTTTGTACTTCTAATTGTGATCTTTGATGATTATGAATTGAATTGATTGATGTGTTCTTGATTTTTGGTGGAGGTGGTGGAGCTGGTTTTCGTCCACGTCCTAGAAGATAATAAAACGATATTTTTTTTTTATTTTTAATTTTGACCAAGTTAGTGACAAGTTAGTAGTAATATGGATAACAATCATCATTATTATAATTTTTACTTGTATAGCATTATGGGATTAGATTATATATTTTTTCTTTCAGTTATATTTCTGTAAAGCTTTGAAGGCTTTCTACACTAAGAATAAATAACAACTGGAAATGATTGTCCGGGACAGAATTTAAAGGAGAATGTTGGTTGGAGGCCTATGCTCCTCCACAAGGAGTAAGAGATGTAAATAATTAAATGTCTGTAACATTTTCTAATATATTTTAAAGATTTCGTGGATAAAGCTAATGATACATTAATTCATATATATATGTCCCCAAATGCCCTGGTACGGCCGAGAGTGGGGAGAGTACACTCTCCCTCTCCAAATCCTCTCACATGACCACGCGTATATAGCCTCTGCCAGGGAAGTCCTACTCACTACATTCTCGCACCACGGGTGTTGTTTACGAAAATGAGAGGACGAAAAGCGAATGTCCGGCACTTTAACCGGATCCCAAATCAATGGTGCACATGGGCTGACTCCAGTATCCTGAAGAAACAAATGTCGTATGAACCAATCGTTGGTCACCAGCTAACATGGGACTGTATCTCCTTACGATGCTCCACTTCCTTGTGGATCAGACCTTCTGGTCGAAGGCTCGGGGTGTGGCCCCTAAGAAAACCACCTGGTTCGGCTTGGGCACCCGGTCAGTATCACAGCCCTCACACAAATTAAATGAAATTTGTGTGGCGCATATGTATTTGGTGCCTCCTTGTACCAATGTCTATGTGTTAAAATAAATAAATAAATAATAAATCATGTATATATATTGCTTGTTTAAATCTTCCAGACATCTTGGAAGAAACATCAACTCTGCGATGCACGTATATCCAGCTGACGGACAAAATACGCGTCCGGGATTCTACTGTTAACCGCCAATCATTTTTTTTAAATTGATTATAGTTACATTGGAATTCCGATAAATTGGATATTTATAGAATAGATGAATTGTATTTAAGAATGAAATTATCTTATTTAAAACTCGTCGTCTGAATGCACCTACATCTCAGTGTTAATGGGTATATTGTACGTTCAACTCAATATCGTCCACTCCTATTGAACAACTGATTTCACACTTAAATTAACTTGTTCAGCAAGTATGATCTATGAATCATTATGAGTTATTTGATTATATTCCTATAAAAAAAAGGCTTAGAACAAATTGTCGTGGGAAACACTGAATTTAATCTCTGAGAATTTTATAAATATGATTTCCTACTTGGTCTTTTATATTCACTTAGCACAGAAGTACTATTGTGGTGTGTGCTACCTATGTAGATATAAGTAGTTTTAGTGGCCCGTTGTGTTCGCCTGTGGTGGCGAGATCACCATTTTAGTGGCCTGTGATCTGACTCCAATTTGATCGTAATGATTGGTTGCTATCGTCTATCCTCGTATATAATCATTGACTTAAATCGCGTTAGTTAATAACGGAATTAAGTAAGTCAAATAACGAGAATGGAGTTTCGAATGCATATATTTCGTATAATTGTTGATTAGACAAACGAACGGAGGAACGATGCGAAGATTAGAAAGCGAAGCTAAATTGGCGCGCGGTGGAGATGGCTGGTAAGCCAACTCCCCCCTTAACAAAGAGTTAATCAATATTTATAAGCCCACAAAAATAAATTACAGACATGTGATGAGTAACGGGATAAGAAGTGTGCATACGCCTACGCGCTCATACAAAGACAGTCAAGATATTGATAAGCGAATAATTAACAAGGATTAGAATGTGACTCAAGTAGAATGAATAGATTGCGATGTCCGAAAGCCGAGAAGAAGGTATTTGGGCTTAACATAATGACAGACACTACATAGTATATGATGCGAGTTAGGAACGCAATGTCTGGCCGCAAAAGATGGGAAAAGATCAAGTAAGGAAGAGTGGGAACACATTGCAATTCGTATGAAAACGCATGAACAATGAAATGTCAGACAATCGATTGATGTTTGCAACAGGAACAGTCCAGTTTGATATGATGGATTGATATTTTGCATATTAACCATTCACTATATGGTTGTTAGATTTTACTAAATGGTTCTGTAATTTTTTGTCGAATACATTCGATTGTTCCCATTAGTGTTCTTGTTCACAACACTATGAAACCATCTGTTCGGATTTAAACGAAGGTTTTTTTTATAAATTATTAGTATATGTTTAAATGATCTCGATGTTGATCTACAAGAGTTGATCTTGATCAGTCTATGTTGGAATATATGCATACTGTGGATTCTCGTTTATACATTGGAAATATAAATTGAGCGAAGAATTACTTCTTTTCAAAGTTTTATACACCAAGTACTTAGTTTGTAAATCAGTAGACAATATATATATTTCAATTCAGTGTTTCCTTTTGGATAAAGGTTTGTTCTCTGAGCTGGATGATTTGGTCGTAGGTTAGTTGAAGTTGAAGACATGAACACCATTAAATATTGGTTCAATAGTCTAGAGATTAAACGTTTGCACGTGAAACTGATATACCCTAGGTTGGAAGCACGCGAGGCGGAATCGTGGATACGCATCGCTGAAAGGTCCCCCAAATGGGAAATAAAATAATCTCTTTCATTTAATAAAACATCATCATTTAACAGTTATAGATACACTAACCTTTACGTAAATTTTCTGATGATGAATTCGAACTCATAGAATGTTCTATACTTTCATTACAAATAATATGTTCATTTGGTAATTTTATTGTATTCATCACTTTATCATCATTTAATGTTTTAGACATAACATGTAAAGAATTTTCTCCTTCAATCATATCCTTTGAACAAACATGATTTGATGAATATAACGGAGTACTATTCAGATTTCTTAATGATTTACCTTCATTATCTAATGTACATGAATGAAATAATTGATCTTCTTCAAGTTGAGTATCATTATCCAATCGATTGTACAGTCCAACATTTTTGTATTGATTAGTATATCTAACAAGATGAAGAGTTACATTATTTAAAACTATATCTGATATTTCAATAGTTGAAATCATAAATCCATTGAAGCTAGACCACCACCATGGAAAACCTAAAAGCACTGGACGGACGTTTCGTTCTAGTATGAGGCTCCTCAGTGGCAGTGCGCATCCACGATCCCGATCCCCGCGGGATTTGAAACCAGGACCTATCAGTCTTGTGTCAGGCGCTTAACTAACTAGACCACTGAGCTGATCGGCATCCAACGGTGCTAATGTCTAACTTCAACCAATCCACGAAGTTGCTCCACCGTACACCATTGTCTTCAGTGATCTGATATCTCACAACAGACTTGGTTGAACTCCATTGGTCACGGCTTCTCACTAGAACTCCAGGAGTATCTCTTGAAGTCAGTCACTAGTGAGCAAATGATTATTACTAATTACTAATTATTACCAATTCTCCACAAAACCCCTTCTGATAATAATCATCTGCTCACTAGTGACTGACTTCAAGAGATACTCCTGGAGTTCTAGTGAGAAGCCGTGACCAATGGAGTTCAACCAGGTCTGTTGTGAGATATCAGCTCACTGAAGACAATAGTGACAGTGGAGCTTCTTTCATAGAAAACCTATTCAAATATTAATTTCAACAGTTTTAAAGTAAATTTGACGAACCAATCAGATTGAAGTTAATGGATCTTTGATTTTAGCGCGAAATTTACTCATCTATTGAACCAAATAGCTTCTTGACATTTTAGCTACGGTTAGTTTATGATGAAAAACCGTTTATCGAATTCATAACCTCAATTATCAGATTTCCTTATAACCCTTATTCAATTCTAGTAACTAGATGGACATCTTTAAAGTCACTTTAGCATCTCTTAAAGGTCGTCCATAAATTATAGGGTCACCACAAAATTTCTTTAAAAGTCATGAAATTAAATTTTTTTTTATTAGTTTAATCAGAATATTCAACTGTTAAGAGACATGAGTATATTATCATTTAAGAAATAGAATTATACTGAAGAACTGTGAACAGATAAATTATCATTTTAGGGGTTGTGGAGATTATCAAGTTTTTGATTGAGATCATGAACCGATTGATGTTAGATCACCATTGAATACTTGAAAGAACTGCACGGCCTTTTTGTCCTATTGTGAGACTCCTCAGCAGTGTCGAGTAGAAACAGCTGTCTACCTTAGTACAATGGAAGATGGTCGCGCAACTTCGTGGATTGGTTGAAGTTAGACATTAACACCGTTGGATGCCGACTCAGTGGTCGCGTTCGCGCACGAGACTGAAGGCCCTGGGTTCGAATCCTGCGAGCGGGATCGTGGATGCTCACTGCCAATGAGGAGTATCACAATAGGACAAAACAGTTGTCCAGTGCTTCCAGGTTTTCAATGGTGATCTAACATCAATCGGTTCATGATCTCAACCAAAATGAATTATCTTTTGGTTTAGAGATTATCAACTAAGTGATATGATACATCACTTATTTTATCCTCATCAACTTCATTTCTCATGAATGATTGTTAGTTTAAATCACCTAAAACCACTGAATTTATGTGAACTGACCTAAAGAACATCACTTTATCATTAGATTTAATATGTGACTATAAGTAGAATCTACTTTAAACGTTTGATTCCATCTGGGACTTACTAACTTCATGTGCCAACATCTCACCGGAATCTAGAATTTCATCTTAATATATCCTACACATTATCTAATTAGCTGCTGAACTCAACTAGTACCCAACCTGTTAAACAGATCAGACAGTAATATAATTATCAGGACTTTTTTTTTGAATTATCCCTTCCTAACGATCTAGTCCGGTTAGTTGTAATGATATAGTTTTACATGATATCATAGAAAAATAGGACTTCAAGAGACTGTGAACAAAAATTACAAAGAATCTGATTTGAAAGATTAATTCAATGTTGTACTAATGAAATGAAACACCTAAATAACCGTCGTGGAAATCAATCTCGACCTAATCAAAATACCAATTATGATTTCGATATTCCAAAATATATATATATTCAAGTAGTGTAGAAGAACAGCAATGTTAAATCAATAACTTTACAAAACATTCATTGACGTTGTAAAGAAGAGTTTTCAGAAGTATAAGATAAAATGGTAAGACTATAATTTATAGACGACCTTTGAGCGACAATAGATTGACCATGAGAGTGTCTACCTAATGAAGGTTATAACCCTGTATGAGGAATTCGAATTGTGATTTATAGTTGATGATTAGGGTTTAGGAATTAGATTTAGGGTTTCCTGTCACGAACTGACATCAGCTATCATGTTAAAAACTCTATTTATCCAAGTGGATGAATGAATTTCGCGCCAAAATCCGGGAGCCGATAAAATTATTTCTAATATTCTTTACATACTTCTTGATTCTTTCCACGTTTTTATCTAAATGACTCTCTGTTTCCATTTCTGTTCTCTTCAATTCAGTCTTATACTGGCAGGTATTTCACTTCAAATAGTTGTTACATACTATTTGTATGTAGTCGAATGTCTGTGTCTTAATAGCTTTTCATTTATGAGGTGTCATTACTCATTCATGAGAAGATCCTTCAACTTCCAGGGCAGGGTTTAAATGGTTTAAATGATTTCTTCTGGCCAGCATCTTTTCAGTGAATTTACTTTGATGTGGGTATAGGTGACTAACTCCCCACCACCACCAAACCCTACACCTTAATCCAGGCTTGGGACGGAAAGTAATCTTTGAGAACTTCGTACAGTATTGATTCACGTATCTTAACAATATAATCATTGTAAACTGAGAAAATTATTTCATAGTTTTGCCAACTTTTTTTCTCAATGATACAGGCGATTATTCGTGAATAAACAAGGATAAGACTATCTGACTAAGACAAATAGAGCTTACTTCATAGAAACTGTTAAACTGATATACACAATAATGAGTTTATCACCACTATCTCACTTCTAATTCATTACATTAAGGGTAATCTGATGAAAGAATAACATGAAACTTCGTAAAGAATCATGCCATCAGATTCATATTATGTAATAGTCAATGTAATTTAATATTTACTACTTTTATAACTGAAGAACCTGAAGATGTAGTTGTTGGAGATAACTCTTAGAGTTATGAATGATGGGTGTTTTTCTTATACGAACTAGAATAATCAATTGTTAAGTTGGATTTCCTCTACTGAATTTATCAACGAATGTACTTATGTATAAATCAGTGTACATAGTGTGGTGTGTGCTACCTATGTAGATATAAGTAGTATATGATGCGAGATAGGAACGTAATGTCTGGCAGCAGAAGATAGAAGAAGACCAAGAAAGGAAGAGCGGAAACACAGTGGAATTTTTATGAAAACTCATGAACAATGAAATGTCAGACAATCGATTGATGTTTGCAACAGGAACAGTCCAGTTTGATATGATGGATTGATATTTTGCATATTAACCATTCACTATATGGTTGTTAGATTTTACTAAATGGTTCTGTAATTTGTTGTTCAAATACATTCGATTGTTCCCATTGGTGTTCTTGTTCACTACAATAGATTTCACTACATGGATAAATACTAACTAGATAGATGTTTACTTCCATAAATACTGATGTTGAACAAAACAGTTTAAAGACAAAAATTTTGGATTGAATATATCATAACATCTATATAGGATGATCAATGAATGAAATCTGTCCGTTCTTATCATTACGATACATCAGTTTCATCGATTTTGAATATTACTTTGTAATAATAGATTCATCCAAGATTGATTATAACCATTAATCCTCCTACATTGAAATGTTCTCCTTTATAAATAGATAACCAATCAATGAAACTTACTTATATAATCTTTGTCGTTGTATACAACTTTTCATATAATATGATAGAATACGAACAGTTTTAGCTGTTACTTCTGGTAACATTTCATTTGCTTCAGAGGCCATTTGTAATACACGATGTAAATTAAAACCAGAATGTGCCATACCTAAACGCCATAATAAACATGGTAAATAAAATAATAATGCTTGAGCAGCCATTACAATTGGTGCCCATTGATAATAAACTAAAAGTGATTCACGTCTATCTGGTACTGGTGGTAAACGATTTTCAACTGGTGCAAAATATGTATTTGCTACCCAACAATAATTTTCAGCATATTCTTCCCATCCTCTTGTAAATTCTTGAGGTATCCAACATTGAATTGGTTTACCTTGAATACAAAATAAAACAAAAAGGTGTGTTTAGTTTAAATCATAATAATAAACTATAATTTTACGAAAGAAGATCAAAATTCGTTTTGTATTTTACTTAAAAATAGATCTGTAATCATTATTCTCATCTGGTAACTGTAAATGTATAAATACAAAAATGTTTTTATTTACTTGTAGTTAGTAACTATTGGTTAACAAACTAGAGAGCACTTAACGACCAATTCATCTTAGTACATGTCTTGTGAAAACTGACCTCTTTGAGTTGAAGATGTTAAATGACTCTCTGTGTTCGATCATCGCTGTCTTCGAACGATCCAGTGGCAACACCATGTTAGTAATGCAGAGGTTTGGCATTATGTGTTCGAGCACAGAGACGATAATGTAATTGGTGTCACCATCTTGAAACACTAACTTTGGTGGCTTGGACATGTTTTACGAATGTCATTATTTGCCGACTCTGGGACTGGTTGGAAAAAGTGGAGAGGTGGTCAGTATATGACATGGTGTCGTGGTATGAAAGAAATCTGCAAAGGGCTCGCTTCTGTTGGTCCTTCACGACTCCCTGGCTGGGGTCCGAGAAATGGTGCAACACAGTGGCTAGAGACGTTTACAGATATGGCTCAGAATAGAAGCCAGTGGCGATCATGTTGTAACCTTCTTTTAATTTCTTCATAAAAAGTGGTTGTATCTTCCTTAACTGTAGGATTTCCTCTGATTGTACCTTTTCGTTTCCCCCCATTATTACTACTATTACACTACTTTACACTAATCTGGTCGTTATCATTTATTTTTCTCCCCTTCTCTTTAAATTCCTCAATGTTTTGTGTGGTGCATATATATTTGGTGCCCCTTGTATCAATAATCATGTATTTAAATAAATAAATAAAAATAAAGTCAATAATCAATGGTAAAGTGCAAAGATGTCAGGATCGAAACTTCATTGGATGATTGTTACTTCTCATTACTGAATAACGACCCATTGGTCCTATTAATAAGTGTTCCCGACAGATTGGAAGTTCCAGTGTTCTATCTCTGAAGGGACAGTAAGTATGCACAGCTGGACAGTTCCATAATACAAAGAAATAGCTTTCAGACATATCAACAACTGAGATCAATCTGTTATAAATACAATCTAATAGGTTTAGTTGAGTTAGTTTACTTCATAGAAAATGATGATAACAAACAATGAAATGAGACTAGTTACTTTATAATACAAAAATAGAAATGGAAAATTAAGATTTTAGAAAAAAAGCCATCTATTAGGAGCTTATTTCTTTTCTACAGGTCAATATTGAAATCAACATGAAAATGAACTAACTAAACAACATCAACTAATCAACATATGCTCGCTAGTAACTGGCTTCATGAGGTATATCCTGGAGTTCTAGTGAGAAGCAGTAACCTGTGGAATTCAACCGTGTCTGTTGTGAGATGGTAACTCACTGATGATAATGGTGGATGTATCGCTCAATTTGGTGAATTAGTTGAAGTTACACATTAACACCATTAGATGCCGGCAAGTTCAGTGGTCTAGTTGTTAAGTGCTCGCGCGATAAACCAGTATGTCCTGTGTTCGAATTTCGGAGGGGCGAGGTCGTGGATACTCACTGCTGAGGAGTCCCACAATAGGACGAAATGGCAGTCCAGTGCTTCCAGGTTTTCCATGGTGATCTAGCTTCAACTAACTCATGATCTTAACCATTTAAATTACTATATTATCTACAAAACCCCTTCTGATAATAAACAACATTGAAACAAAAACTCATACTAAATCATGTTACATTTCTCTATAAAACGTTGTATATTGAGATCTAAGATATTACAATAGTAAAGTAGAATCTGTACAAAGTGACAAACATTTAAGTTTCTTTTCCATGGTTATTATGAACGAATATAAAAGTATAACTTTAGATGCTCTAAATGATAAAAAAAAACAGAAAAAAAAAAATAAATAAATAAATATAGATGATGTCATTTAATGATTTTCTCATCATTCTTATCTTAGGAGTTTATCTACTACTTAAATGTATTAAAGTAGAAATTTAAATGAATCATAAAAATTTTCTGTTTTGTTTTGTATTTTTTTTTTTTTTTTTTTATAAATAAATGAACTCTTCTTTGATACATTAATTCTTTAAGAATCATGATTTTTGAACATTCAATTAGTACCCTTCTTCCCCCCCCCTAATATATATATCTATATATCTATATATATATAATGCTACATCTGTAAACCTATTTTCATTATATTATTTATCTGATAAGATTAAGTGTAAATATCATCTAATAGATTAAACAAACTATCAGTGTTAATATAGAATATTTGAAGATGTTATAATATGTTGTCAACATTGAATAGTTCACTTTTATTAAAACAATCATCTAACCTTAGTAACAATATAAGATGAAACAGAAAAAAAAATTTTTTTTTTATTTTTTGTAATTCAATATTTTCAGTAAAATTACCTTTAGATTCATTTGTGTATATATTTCAAATGAATAACAATTTCCATAATTCCGCTCGTGGGATTCGAACACGGGACCTAATGGTTTCGCGTGCGAGCATTTAACAACTAGACCACTGAAGTGGCCGGCATCCAACGGTGTTAATGTGTAACTTCAACTAATTCACCAAATTGAGCAATACATTCACCATTATCATCAGTGAGTTACTATTTCACAATAGATACGGTTGAATTCTACAGGTTACTGATTCTCACTAGAACTCCAGGATATACCTCATGAAGCCAGTCACTAGTGAGCATATGTTGATTAATATCAGAAGAGATTTTGTGGAGATTGTAGTAATTTCAATGGTTAAGATCATGAGTTAATTGAAGCTAGACGACTATGGAAAGCCTGGAACGAGTGGACTGCCATTTCGTCGTATTGTGAGACTCATGATCTTAACCACTGAAGTTACTACAATCTCCACAAAACCTCTTCTGAATAATAATTGTTGCATCAGTTAGTAACTAATTTCAAAAGTCAATGTGAAAACTTAAAAAAAAGAGATTGTTACTAATAGAATGTTTAATTAAATTTGTGCTTAATTACCAACTGACTAATGATATATAGTTGATTATTATTGGCTATGCATTCAATAGTAGAACGTACTATTGACCAGTCCCACAATAGGACAAAACAGTCACTGTATACTTTCAGGTTTTCAATGTTGATCTAATATCAATCGGTTCATGATCTTAGTTAGAAACATTTTTCTTCAATGTAGCTTTCAATAATCGCCTTCAGATGATCCATTATTTATGGATATATTAGGAATAAACTTCAGCTTTTGAACAATGTACATTGGACGTGAAAAATGAAATAATTTACAAACGTATCTCAAAACATTATCCTTTGTTGCGTTTAAAAGTACAAGTGTAGTGAACAAGAACACAGGTGATGACAATCGAATGTACTTGACAACAAATTACAGAACTAGTTCATAAAATCTAATAACCATATAGTAAATGCTCAATTTACAAAATGTCCATTCATTAACTCAAATAACTCAGATTTCCTTTGTTCTTGCATTTTCATACAAATTGAATTCTTTCTTCATTCTTTACTGTTCGATCTTCTCGTCTCTCTCTGCTGCCAGACATTCTGTTCAGTACTCATGTCATATACTACCTATGTCTACATCAGTAGCACACACCATACGAGGACACATCACCGACTATGGTCAGATCGTCTCACCACAATCATCTTTCAAAATAATCTACACAATCATTGATGCGAGATCAAAGACATGAACCGTAGTGACTTTGGCGATCATATCTTTTCTTTTTTTGTTTGTTTGTTTGTTTGAAAGAACATTCTCTTGATTGAATCACCTTTGCCCCCAAATGCCCTGGTATGGCCGAGAGTGAGGAGAGTCCGCTCTCCCTCTCCAAATGCTCTCACGTGGCCATGCGTATATAGCCTCTGCCAGGGAAGTCCTACTCACTGCCTTCTCGTGGTGGGGGTGTTGTTTACAAAAATGAGAGGACGAAAAGCGAATGTCTGGCGCTTTAACCGGACCCCAAACAAATGGTGCACATGGGCTGGCTCCAGTATCCTCAAGGAACAAATGGCGTATGAACCATTCGTTGGTCACCGGCTACCATGGGACTGACTGCATCTCCTTACGATGCTCAACTGTCTTGTGGGTCAGACGTTCAGGTCAAAGGCTCGGGGTGTGGCCCCCTAAGAAAACCACCTGCTTCAGTTTGGGCACCCGGTCAGTATCACAGCCCTCACACAAATCAATTGAGATTTGTGTGGCGCATATGTATTTGGTGCCTTCCTGTACCTATACCTATGTGTTAAAATAAATAAATAAATAAATAAAAATCACCTTTCTATTTCTTTCAATAATCCAACTGGCTATTATTATTACTACTTTATATAACTTATAACCTTTGAATTGTAACAATAAGCAAAGATGTTACCCTTTCATAACTTACCAACATATTGACGTACACCAATAAGACCAATAAATAAAAATAATAAAACACTTGTATATTGATAATTTAATCGATCAGCAAAATCATCATCAAATTGTAATCGTCTAGATCCAATACGTCCAAGTTTAGATAAATTCCAAATAAATGCAGCATCCATGATTTAATTGAATTGTAATTTATTTATAAAATATAATCAATATTAATCAGTATAGTTTAATTGAAATCATAATCATTGTATTGTTCATCTAAAGGAACAAATAAAAAATAAAAAAACGAGTAACTATGCAATAATTGATTTGATTAATAACATTTGGTTAAATGTAATAAACAGATATAAATTACACATTGAACGCCATTGGATGATAGGTTTATTGATTTAGAGATTAGGTGTTATCCATGAAGCTAGAAGGTTCTAGGTTCCATTTTCAGAGGGGGGTTTTGTGTTGTTGTTGTTGTTGAGGAAGAGGAGGAGGAGTAGTTTTGTGTTGTGTGCTACTTATGTAGATATAAGTAGTATATGACGTGGATACTGAACAGAATGTCTGGCAGCAGAGAGAGAGACAACAAGATCGAACAGTAAAGAATGAAGACAGACTGCAATTTGTATGAAAATACAAGAACAAATGAAGTCTGAGTCATTTGAGACAATGATTGAACAATTTGCAAATTAACGATTCAATATATGGTTGTTAGATTTTATGAACTAGTTCTGTAATTAGTTGTTGGAGACATTCGATTGTTCCCACTGGTATTCTTATTCACTACAGTTTTATATTAAAGGTAAAAAGTCATTCAATACTTTCTAGTATTCAATGACTATCTAACTAAAATGTAAACTGTGAAATTCAATCATCGACACTACGTCCTATAATACAATGTGATTCTCTGACTGTAAAATTAATTCATTATTATGAGTTAATTATCATTAATGTTTTATTTCATGGATACATTGAAACTATGTATTAGGTTTTTCTGGAAATCTTATAGATCTTTTGATGTGATATCATTGTTTACAAAAATACCACTTCTTGAAACCATAGACATAATTTGTCAGCATCCGGACATCCTACCTCTACCAGCAATAGAATTCAAACAACTATTACTCATATGTACAAAAGATGTTCAATTCCAATTCAACAATACTATATACCGACAAACCGATGATGTGGCAATGGGAAGTCCGTTAGGCTCTGTCCTAGCAGATATTTTCATGGCTAACCTCGAAAGAATCAAACTCAAAGGAACGATTAATGAAATGATGTATTATTCGAGGTATGTTGATGATACCTTCATCGTATGTAATAATCAACAACATGCAACAAATCTGCTAAAATATTTCAATGAAGCTCATCCCAATATTCATTTCACTATGGAACATGAAAAAGAAAATAAGTTCCATTTTCTCGATATCGCGATGAAACGAAGAAAAGATGGTACAGTTCAACGCTCAATTTATAAGAAAGACACATGGAATGGAATTTATCTCAATTTCAACAGCTTCTGTCCAATCAATTATAAAAGGGGCACTTGTCAAAACATTGTTTCACAGAACATAAAGAATATGTACTGCCGATACAATAGAAGAGGAAGTTGTGAATATTAAAAAGTGTTTAAGGAATAACGGATACCCGCTGAAATTTATTGATAAATACGGAAAACGTGAAGATAAAATACCAAAAGAAACTACTGTAAATAAAAAACCTGTTTTTATTGAACTCAAATTCAAAGGTGATAATGTCTTAGGGTCAATCAATATGAAACTAAACACTGCATTGACAAAAACATATCCAGCAGCTAAATTGATTGTCCTGTCCAAAACAACATGTTCTTTGACACAATCAAAGGTCGACAGATATCCCTTTCATGTTACCACCAACTGTGTATACAAATTTACATGTATCTGCCAAAGCAGTTACATTGGTAGAACAGAAAGGAGAGCCTACGTCCGATTCAAAAAAACATATTCTGAAGGGTTTGAGATCAAACGGACCAAAAACATTCAGAAGCGCTATCGTAAGACATCTCGTTGACACAGGACACGAAATCGATATACTGAAGTCCTTCAAGGTGATCAACAATCAATCAAATTCCAACCTTTTGAAATTTGCCGAAGCGATAGCAATCAAACGTTTAAAACCAAATCTTTGTATACAAAACGAAACAGTAATAAATCTTTCTTTACCCTGGTAAAATTACATCCCCCCTCTTTTATTTATTACGTCATTCCAACTCTTTCCAAAAAAAAAATTTATAATTACATCATTCATAACTGACCAATTTCAATTCATATCTCTCTTTATTACCATTAATCTATTTTCAGTGTTACTTCATTACATAATCATCTAATGTGTTTTTTTAATTCCATGAGTTCTAATCACTATTTCTATATGTTATGGAACCTTCCCTCTATAACCTCATTATCTCTAACAGCATCTTTGCTACATCATGATACACATATATTCATCCTTCATCACCCTCTTATGTCTAAGTATGTCAATATCTGTAATAACGTTGAATTTCAAATATTTTTAGGTTGTAAGCAGCTGATGAGAACCTAACGAAATACTGCTGAGGAGTGCCATAATAGGACGAAACGGCCGTCCAGTGCTTCCAGGTTTTCCATGGTGGTCTAGCTTCAACTGACTCATGATCTTAATCAATGAAATACAATGAATTGATTTATTATTCTGCACCAACCTTTGTTCTTGCTCTCTTTAAAATCTTATAGAATTCCTTTCTGTCATCAATGTTTGTTAACTTATATTGGAATATAATTCAACGTTACATTTTCAATACACACACACACAGAGAGAGAAAGAGAGAGAAAGAGAGAAAGAGAGAGAGAGAGTTGTAAGCAGTTCAAGAGGAACTGGGAAATAAAATGAATTCATATGATTCTGTCTTAGTTGTTATGATAGATTTCGTAGAATTATCTTCTCTTTAGTAGACTAAACATTTATACCTATGAATTAGTATACCGTTATCAAAATCATATTATGTTTATATCAAACGGTTCAAGTGTTTTTCTAATCTTCTCTTTGAGAGCTAATAATCATCCTTCGTAATCAAAGTAGTTTTATTATTAAGATAATCACAGTATTCACATCGGATAGGCTTGGCTGTCTTACGTACTGGACTCGAGAATAGTTCTCTGAATGTTCTGACACACACAATCTAAGCTTAAGTTTGAAGTCTACTCGGTTTATAACTATCTGTCTTATCCATATCATGTTTTATATACACAGAACTTTATTCTATCAAGATGATAACTCAACACTTTAAGGAAAAAATTATTTTCTAATATGATCTTTTTAATAACGATTAAGATGTTTTATTGTTTATTATAGTCAAAGGGTAACTTTCAGTTATAATAGTTAGTATTATAATCAACCGTAATATTCTAACTGTTGTCATACTAGAACTTAGAAATCTCCATAGAGTATTTTTAAAAGAGAGAAGAATATTACAGTGATTAATTATTTTCAAAAAAACATCGGGTTCAAACTGTACACTTAAAACCCTATTAGATTAAAATAAGTGAATGAGACAATGTGATTTGTTCTGAATGCGGAACTCTTGAATCAAATATGGATTGAATACATTCAAAATATTTCATTTGTTAAGTTATAGCAGCTCATATTCACATTGAATTTGGTTAGATCTTTTTATTATTAGCTTATTTGGCAGACAGAGTGATGAGTACAACGACGACAATTTTGTTATAACTCAAAGGCCAATGACTTATCGATCGCATCGAGGGATTCCGAGACTCGATAGGCTATTCTTGTCCGTTGTCCTCCGACTCAGCTCAGACTCGATCAAGAAGTCTTGGTAAGACGTAGAAAGTGTATTTTACAGGCAACCAGCAGATACCAGGTCAATCAGGCTTACAAATCAAGCGTATTTATACAAATATATATATATAAGATCGATATTGTCATGGAAATTTTTAAATATTTCATCAATAAGTTCGTCAATTGACTACCATTCAAATATGTAAACATTTGATCGATAAGTTAATCGATAAGATAAAATTACAAAATATGAGTTTTTTTTGGGGGGATCTATCATCCCCAACAAACTTATTTATACCATTGTACTTTTATGATGGTTACGCTTGTATGAATATGTATGCTTGTGCATTGTTTACCGGCTACGTACATATTCATGTTGCTAGCTTATGGTGTTAGTCGCTTAATTGATCCGATGATTCATTCATTTCACTGTGTATATATATGTACATTTTAATCCTGCTCATTGACTGACTCATTTGACTCGTATGGTCAATCGCTTTCCCGTTTACTTTTCGGTACTACACTTTCATGCTTGCTTAGCGTACCTGTTATTTTTAGTTATCCGTGAGTGGTGCAATGATCAACTTAATCAACACTTCATATTCACCTTCTGAATAATACACCGTTGGATGTTATCTAGTCACAGTTATCATGACGAGTAGTAAACGAAGTGTGATGAATTATATCTAATACCGACCACCAGAAATTTTATTGGTCAGTTAAGTAATGAACAAGGAATGTTTGTTTAAGATGTTTAGTTCCAATCAGTTTGATAAAATAAATCACGTGAATATGATATATTGTAAAAGATATTTTATGCTAGTGTCATTGCATTAATAACAGTAATAGTCAGTCAGTCAGTCAGCTGCAACGTAGGACCAGGCACATATATACATCGGTCCAAGTTACCATACCGCATCAGCACAACAAGGTGAACACCGAATTCATAGAAGTAGTTAATCCAGTGGTGGTAATATATAGAAGAAAGATTACATATAAGGAGGTAGTACACGAAGAAAAAATTAGTTGGCAGAAAGAAAGATTTGAAGTGATGTCAATTTCTTAGTTTAAAGGAAGACAGAGAGTGTATACACAAACTCAAGCCATTGTGATCGATTCTGGGCCATGTCACCAAGAGTCTCCAACCATTGGTTACGACAGTCACGTGGACCCCAACCAGGCAGTGTGAATCTACCAACATGGCTCAGACTACAAGTTAGTGTCTTCAGGCACTGATGCCACGTTTTGGTTTGGCTGCCCCTAACTTTCTTCCAATTATCCCTAACACCGGTTAGCATTGCGAGTCGTGGTAATCGGTGTTCAGGCATACGCAACACGTGGCCCAACCAACAGTAATAGTAAA